GGAGGAGGAGGAGGAGGAGGGAGCCGGTGCAGCCCGTCCTTTTTTCCGGAGCGATCGTTTGGAAGCCCCCCTCCCAGAGCTCCTCGGTCTCAGATAGGCGGCTGCAGAAATCGAACAATTAAATTAAATTAAATTAAATTACATTAAAAAATACGATCAGGGTCTTTGCAATGGCTAATCCGATTGCAATTACAACTGTAATTCGCACGTTGCCCTTTTAATTTATTTTCCCAAGGCTGCCTCGGGTTCGGAAGGTGTGTTCAAGGCTCGGGACAGGGGGTGACCTTAAAGATTGTGTTTATTTCATGTTTATTCCGCCTTTATTATTTTCCTCCCCTAGATACCCCCCCCGGCGCAGGTTTGCACCCCCCCTCCCACCACCTTCCCTTTTAACTCCCCCCCCTCCTCTGATCATAGTAGTGAGATGGGCAGCCGCAGAAACCGTTAAATCAAATAAATTAAAGTAATATGGGGGGGGCTTCTCCTGGAGCCTTCCCTCCTCCACCCCCCACCCCACTATCTGAACCCTCAAACCCCTTTGACTGGCTTGCATTGGAAAGGAGCCAGCTGAGCCTTTACTCTGGAGCAAATCCAGTGGGATTGAAAGGGGGGGGCTGGGCACGGAGCTGGCTTTCCTGTAAATGCGATTAAAAAAAATAAAATCTAATCCTGGCGCGCTGTCCGGAACTCCCGGATAGAGAGAGGGTTGCCAAGGCGATAAAGAAACCAAAGCAATGTTTTGACAGAGAAGAAATTAGGATTATTTAAGACATGGTGGAGCAGGGGCCTTCAAACGTGGCCCTTTGATGACTTGTGTGTTGACTTATGACTTATGACTTTCCGTGTGTCGTGCAATTAAAGAGTAAACCCCTTACCCCACCTCTGCCCCTTGTGTTTTCCAGCCATGAGCGGCTCCCAATCTCTCCTGTGGGCTGTGGATATTTTTGGGAGAGTGTACACCTTATCCACCACCGGCCAGTACTGGGAGCTGTGCAAAGACGGGGAGCTGGAATTGAAGCGGGTTTCGGCCATCAAGCAGTGCTGCTGGGGACTCGCCTGCGATCACCGAGTCTACGTTTACGTACACGCTAGTGACGTCCCCATCCGGTTCAAAGAGGAAACCTATGAGAATCAGGTACAAGCGAGCGGAGAGTTGTCCCGGAAGGGGTCATCCAGCACAACCCTTTGCACTCAGTGCAGAATCTGCGAAAGGGTGTTTGAGCCTCTGGCTGAGGATCTCTGTTAAGGAGAATTTCCACTTCAAGTGGCAGCCTGTTCCACTGGTTGACAGCTTAGAATAGAATAGAATAGAATAGAATAGAATAGAATAGAATAGAATAGAAAGAGAATAGAGAGAATAGAAAATAGAAAATATGGAATAGAGAAGAGAAGAGAAGAGAAAATAGAAAATAGAATATAGAATAGAATATAGAATAAATAATAGAATATAAAACAGAATAGAATGTAGAACAGAATAAAATAGAATATAGAATAAATAGAATAGAATAGAATAGAATAGAGAATAGAGAGAACAGAAAATAAAAAATAGAATATATGGAATGGAATGTAGAAGAGAAGAGAAGAGAGAATAGAAGAGAGAATATAGAATAGAATATAAAACAGAATACAATGTAGAACAGAATAAAATAGAATATAGAATAAATAGAATAGAATAGAAAATAGAGAGAACAGAAAATAAAAAATAGAAAATATGGAATGGAATGGAATGGAGAAGAGGGAATAGAATATAGAATAGAATATAAAACAGAATAAAATGTAGAACAGAATAGAATATAGAATAGAACAATACTTTTATTGTCACTTTAAATGTACACTAATCAGCCTGCATTAAAATGAGATTTCCTTGCATACAGCTCTCAGAAGGTAAGTCCCATTGCCTTGCTCAAACACACATCAAAACCTTCCAGACCATGAGTCCTAGGTCCCTTTTATCCCTCTAAAAACCTTTGATGGCCTAGCTAGCCCATCACCTCCAGCCTGGGAACCGTGGGCTGAGTATATCTGGGATGTGGGGGGGAGGCGGGAAAGGATGAGGTCCTTTGGGATGTGTGACTGTTTCTTCCTTTGCCTGCCTCCCCCCCCCCCTTCCTGGCAGCGCTGGAACCCGGTGGTCGGCTTTTGTGACAGCCTGCTGCCCAGTGACCGCTGGCCATGGAGCGACATCAGTGGGCTGAAGCATCTGCAGCTGGAAAGCTTTGCCCTGCCGTCGCCTCACTGGGAGTGGGAATCTGACTGGTACGTGGATGAAAATTTTGGAGGGGAAGCCACAGAGAAAGGGGTAGGTGAACCACATGGGATCTGCCTTCTCGGGGAGGGAGGGGGAAGCTGTATGAAAGGGGATTGTGGGCCTGAAAAAAATTAGATCAGGGTCTAAATGCCCCTGATAATGTAAATGGCTAGGAAAATGCAATTTCCCTTTCGTTTCTCGGTCCTCCACTTACAACGATTCGTTTAGTGACCGAAGTTACAACGGCACTGAAAAAAGAGAGACTTAGGACCATTTTTTCCCACACTTGCGACCGTTGCACGCCGTCCCCCTGGTCAGGTGATCAAAATTGAGACGCTTGGCAACAGACTCGTATTTATGACCAGGGGGGTCACGGATTCCCCTTTTGCAACCTTCTAACAAGCAAAGTCCAGAAAGGTCGTAAAATGGGGCAAAACTCACTTAGCAACTGTCTTGCTTAGTAGCAGAAATGTTGAGCTCCGTTGTGGTTGCAAGTCAAGACCTACCTGTACTAATAAAGAATAGCTGGAAAAACCCTATTTTTATTTTATTTTTTGTGCTCATCTGACTGATAGTGTGAATTGCTGAGAAAATGCAGTTCTTTTTCTCGGTTCCCTGTACTAAATAATTATGAAATTAAGTTTCTGGGGAAATGCCCTGTCCCTTCTCACAAAGCTTTCACAAGCCTATTTTGTAAATCCAATATATATAAAAAAAAATGACCCAAGTTATTGTCTGAATTTGTTGTTTGTATGTCCCTTTTAAGACATCAGCCAGTTTCTTTTCTTTTTCTCTGACCATGGTTTGATCAAGGAGCTCTAAAATTGCTGGAAGCTCCTATCTTGTGGTCTCCTGGCAAGGAGCAACTGTCTGGAGCAGTTGTGGGCAATCTCATGTTCTCTCCTTGTCCGGAGAGGAATTATAAAGAGTCGGGCTACTCGCTGGCTCTTCCTTTCCCATTAGCTCTGGGTTTTTTTGAGGATCTGTCTTCAAGTTGCCGTTTTTTAACCCCAGAAGTCCAGTTGTATACCAAGATTTCTTAGCTTTGGGAGAAGAAACACAACTGAACTCTTGTCTGGTTCAGTTTTTCAAATCCTTGGGGGAAGGAAAGGAAGTCCTTGTCTACAACGCTGATGATGATCATCATGATATGACCACTGACAGATTTCTGGAATAGATCTCGGAGGGATTCTCAACTGGTCCTCCCTTTTTCCATCACAAGGCTAAAATGATATTACTAAAGTGAATAACACTTGAGGCTTTACTGAGACTTTGCGTTCATTGCGGCTTTGATCCTCACCGGCTCATCATGTTCTACCTCGGTCACTTTGTTCCTTCGCAGGGGTGGACCTACGCCATCGATTTCCCTGCCACGTACACCAAAGACAAGCGCTGGAATTCCTGTGTCAGACGAAGAAGGTGGACTCGGTACAGAAGGTACAAAGCACGGGACACCTGGGCAAAGGTGTGTGCTGCTTTCTCTCTTTCTCTTTTTCTCTCTCTCTCTTTCTCTCTCTCTCTCTCTCTCTCTTTCTCTCTCTTTCTTTTTTTATTTCTCTTTCTCTTTTTTTATCTTTCTCGTTCTGTCTCTTTCTCTTTTTCTCTTTCTCTCTCTTTTTCTTTCTCTCTTTCTCTTTTTCTTTCTCTCTCTCTCTCTTTTTCTATCTTTCTCTCCTCTCTCTTTCTGTCTCTTTCTCTCTCTCTCTCTTTTTCTTTCTCTCTCTTTCTCTTTTTCTTTCTCTCTTTCTCTCTCTTTTTCTTTTTTTATTTCTCTCTTTCTCTTTCTCTTTTTCTATCTTTCTCTCTCTCCTCTCTTTCTGTCTCTCTTTCTTTCTCTTTCTCTCTCTCTCTTTCTCTTTCTCTCTCTTTCTCTTTTTCTTTCTCTCTCTTTCTTTCTTTCTCTCTCTCTTATTTCTCTCTCTCTCTTTCTCTTTTTCTATCTTTCTCTCTCCTCTCTCTTTCTGTCTCTTTCTCTCTCTCTCTCTCTTTTTTCTCTTTCTCTCTTTCTCTCTCTCTCTCTCTTTATTTCTCTTTCTCTTTCATCTTTTTTTTCTGGAATTGTCTAGTATGTCCAGGGTTGGTTGAGCGTAGCCAAGCACTTCTGCTTTCTTCAGGTAGCTGTAGTTTCTTGGGTCTCTTTCAACAGCATTATTTTATTTCACTTTTATTTCTCCTTTTTCCTTCTCCTTTTTCCTTCTGACTTCCAGAGGTAGTCCTCAGCTTGCAACCATTCGTTTAGTGACCATACAAAATTACGGTGGCATTGAAAAAGGTGACTTGGGACCGTTTTTCACCCTTGTGACCCTTGCAGCATCCCCGGGGTCACAGGGTCAAAATTCAGAAACTTGGCAACCGGCATGCACTTATGACCGTTGCAGCCTTCCCTTTTGCGACCGTCTGACAAGCAAAGTCAATGAGGAAGCCAGATTCACTTAACAAACGTGTGATTCAATTAATGACGGTGGCAAGAAAAGTCGTAAAACGGGGCAAAATAACTGTTTCAGCGAGGGATGTTTTGGGCTGAATTACAGACATGGGTTGAGGACTGCCTGCATTTTATGATCTTTTGTTTTCTATTTGACATTTCTTTTAGGTTTTATATTCTTTGACATTTTATTCCTAAGGCCCCTCCATTCTACTATGGTTCTGGGTGGGGATGAAGGGCAAGTCAAGGTGAGGATTGTCCCCTCCCTAGATTTTTTTTTTAAAGGATATTTGTAATCTTTCCACAATACCTCTGGAATGGATCTTGTGGTTTTCAATAAGAATTAGAAACCCTCTGTTGTTGTTTTGTTTTTTCCAATGGATTTTCTTGCAGGGCTCTGCTGTTTCTCGTTCTAGAAGGTGCCATGGGGTTCCCCAAGGAGAGGATGCCCCATCACCTGGAGTTCAGCAAGGACAATCTGAATGTGCTCACCTGGCCTTCCGAAGTAGCAATCCGTAACTCCCAGCCTTTCTCCTTTCCTTTTTTTTTTTTTTGAGATAGATTCCACCCCATCAAGATCCGAAGCAGTTGCCAGATCCGTTTAATGACATCTCCGTGGGAGGCTGGGAGATCACCGATGAACCTCTGGGTCGACTCTCAGTCTGGGCCGTCACTCTGCAAGGCAAAGTAATGTCCTCCCATCCCCAGCCCTTCTTAATTATGTCTTGTCCCTTTGACGCAGAGCCAAAGAGGGCCGATCCATCCGCTGATCAGTTTAGACCAGGGGTGTCCAATCTTGGTGACTTTAAGACTTGTGGACTTCAGAATTCCCCAACCAGCTCTTGTACCTTTAGATCAGGAATGTCCAACCTTGGTAATTTTAAGACTTGTGGACTTCAACTCCCAGAATTCCCTAGCCAGCTCTTGTATAGCTCTTATTACCTGTAGATCAGGGATGTCCAACCTTGATAACTTTAAGACTTATGGACTTCAACTCCCAGAATTCCCCAGCCAGCTCTTGTACCTTTAGATCAAGGATGTCCAACCTTGGTAACTTTAAGACTTGTGAACTTCAGCTCCCAGAATTCCCCAGCCAGCTCTTGTACCTTTAGACCAGGAGTGTCCAACCTTGACAACTTGAAGACTTCTGGACTTCAGCTCCCAGAATTCCCCAGCCAACTCTTATAACCTTTAGACCAGAGGTGTCCAACCTTGGCAACTCACTAAAGTCCTCAAAATATAATAATCTCCTGCAATGCTATTGCATCTGGTTAATACTTGAGGGGATATAGCTAAGAAACTTTAGCTATAGACTTGTAAACTGGGAAATTAAAAGAGGAATAGGAAGAGGACGACGACAACATCGGCAAAGCATTGTCTTGTCCCCAAGTGTCCATGAGATCACCAGAAGCTTGACTCCTTCAACATTTCCCTCCACTCTACGTTCATCTCCTAACTTAAGAGCTTCTGATTAGACCAGGCCACTCTGCTTGACCTTCTCCATCTTCTCGCTCTATTTACCTTCCTTCATATTCCGTTTTTTCCCCAACATTTCCCAGTGTTTGAAAATGTTCTGGCTTCATGGAAGTGTTCCCCTGGGCCCACCCGAGATTTATTTTCAGTTTGTTGTGTTGCTTGGTGACTAAACAAGTTGAGTGTCCCTCTTGGCTTCACTTCACTTCCTGAGTTTGTTTTCAGATTTGATTCCATGATACAGTGTCCCCTCCGTGTTTGGAAATTTAAGGCGATGGTATCCAGAAGGCCAGCAGACGTTCATCCCTGGTGGAAGAGAAGAAGTCACCTCAACCCCGTGTGCATAAATGTTTGCTTCCTTCTGAGAAATTGTGCCTGAACCATGGCCTTGTCTTCGTAGATCTGGTACCGGAATGACGTCACACATCACAATCCTGAAGGATCTTCCTGGACCTTAATACCCGCTCCGGGCGAAGCCATACAGATCAGCTGTGGACCCTACGATCTCCTCTGGGCCACCTGCTGGGAAGGACAGGCGATCGTGAGAGAAGGGATCGACCGAAACAACCTCCAAGGTAGGACCCTTTGCGTCCCAAGGAAGTTGCTTCTCTGCTGTGGAGTTGTGTCGTCCTTCTACCGATTTTCTGCCTCTTTTCTCGTTTGGCCAGGAACCTCTTGGACCCTTGTGGACCCACCGGTTGCCGACAATGGGATTTCGCATGTGTCTGTTGGGGTGAACGTGGTCTGGGCTGTCACGAAAGACAGAAAAGTAAGTGGCTTTGGAGCTGCAAAGGCTGGCTAAGTTGCTAGTCCTGTTGAGTGTAGGGGAATTTTAAAAGACTGATCCAAGGATATTCAGTGAGAAGTTTTTATCTGAATAAAAGGGATCCGTTCTGTCTCATCCCAAGCCACCGGGGAGTAGACTGTTGCTGCTCCTCATCCCATTATCCAGTGTCGGGATTTTAAGGTGCTCATTTTGGGGTGGGGGAGAGAAACCCCCAACCTCCACCCCTGACGTGAGGATTTTTCTCATCTAGGTGTGGTTCCGGCGGGGCGTGAACTCCTACAATCCTTGTGGCACCAGCTGGATTGAGATGATTGGTGAAATGCAGATGGTGGACGTGGGCTTAAATGACCAGGTGAGTCTCTTAGGAACAGGAGAGATGACAGGTAAATCCTCAACTTACGAACACTCATTTAACAACCAGTTGAAGTTACGTGGATGCTGAAAACAGTGACTTACGACTAATACTGCATTCTAACCACCAGCGCCCTCCAGGATGAGGCCAAAGGATGTCATGGTTGGGACATCCCAGGTCCTTCAAGTGGACAGTTGTGATTTTACCCGTTCTTCTCTTCCTCCCCTCCCCTCCCCTTCCCATTTTCCTTTCCCTTCCCTCCTCTCCTCTTCCCGTTTTCCCTTCCCTCCTGCCCCCTCCCCCTCCCATCTTCCCTTCCTGTCTTCCTTTCCCTTCCCTCCCCTTCCCCTCTTTTCTCGTTCCCTCCCCTTCCCATCTTCCCACGTAGGTTTGGGGGATCAGCTGCGAGGACCGAGCGATTTACTTCCGCCAGGGCGTCACCCCAAGTGAGCTGAGTGGGAAGATGTGGAAAGCAATTGCCTGCAACCGAGAGAGCGACCGATCTCAAACCGGCAGCTCCACCAGCCTCCTGAGGTAATAGTTATCCTTCTGTTATGTATTCAAGATGGACAGTGATTAATATTTATGTTATTCTATGCAAGGGCATAGGTCTATACTAGGGGTAGGCCACCTTGGCTCTCTTATGACTCGTGGACTTCAACTCCCAGAATTCCTGAGCCAGCCATGCTGAGGGGAAAGGGAGAGGTTTCCAAGCTGAGCCATGCTGGCTCAGGAATTCTGGGAGTTGAAGTCCACGAGTCATAAAAGAGCCAAGGTTGCCTACCCCTGGTCTATACATATGTCGTATATAGTATGTTTTAAAGGTGTGTTGCGTATGTGTACACTGGAGAGCAAGCCACTAAATTTCATTTTTTAAGGTGTGCCGTTGTGCCCACAGGGGGAAAAAATGACAATAAAGGTGATCTAATCTAATCTTCAACGCATCATAAACGTGGATAATTCAGAGTTAAGATCTGCTTTTCTCTCTTGGGTCTCCAGCGCTGGCTGCTTCTTTACGGAGGACATCAAAGAGCAAAGCCCCTCCATTTTTCAAAGCGATGGAGACTCCCAGACTGAGTCAGAATCCCTTCCGGATGATGCTGGACCTGGTCCTGATGCCACTAACAGTCCCCATCCGGTCCCGGAGCTGGATATGGACCCGCTAGCCAATGCTCTGGAGGAAGCTACAGCTGGGTCCGATGGAGACCACCGAGGTGCCCCAGATAAACCCCTCCCCAGTCTGGACTCGCCTCCGCCCAAGCTTCAGTGGACCAACATCGACTTAAAAGAAGCCAGCAGGCCGTCCAAAGCAGCAGCCGGCCTGTTGGCTGAGACCTCCAGCTTGTCTTCCTTCTCACCAGCTGGGATCGAGAACCACTTTGTGACCGATGACCTTCCCCTGTGGACCTGGGTCTCCAGCAGAGGCTGCCTTGTGGACGCACAAAGCGCCCTCAAATGGTTCACGCTGCAGTCAGGTGGGGGGCAGCTCCAGACCTTTCAATTTTATTTTATTTTATTTTTTAAAAAAAATCAGCCTTTTCTCTTGATGTAATTTTAACGTAAGTACGAGGACCACTCGTAAATCGCTTTTTTCAGGAGCACATAACTTTGAACAGTCACTAAACAAGTGGTTGTAAGTCAAAGACTATGGGGTTTTTTTTGGCTTGGTCTGTTGTTTTTAATCCTTATTGCCCAGTCTTTTAATCGTACTGTAATTTTAACGTTTAGTGCGAGAACCAGTCGTAAATCAATTCTTTTTCAGGACCGTCGTAAATTCAAACGGTCACTAAATAAATAGTTGTAAGTTAAGGTCTATGTTTTTTTCAGCTTGTTTTTTTTAATCCTTATTGCCCAGTCTTTGAATCGTAGTGTAATTTTAACTTAAGTGTGAGGACCAGTCGTAAATCAATTTGTTTTCAGGAGTCACTAAACAAATGGTTTCAAGACAGGAACTATGTTTTGGGGGGCTTGATCTGAATCTTTAATCCTTATTGCCCAGTCTTTGAATCTTAGTGTAATTTGAATGTTAAGTGTGAGAACCAGTTGTAAATCGATTCTTTTCCAGTCGTAAATTGATTTTTTTTCAGGACCGTCATAAATTCAAACAGTCACTAAATGCCACAAGTTGAGAACTTTTTTTTTCTTGCACTGTTGTTTTTTGATCCTTATTGCCACCTGCCACTCAAGAGTTGTTTGGCATGGAGCAGGTCTAGAAATGCCAACAGCTCTTTCAAAACTGTTTTTAAGGAAAGGGTCAAAGGAAATGCTTGATTTGGGAATTCTCTCCTCTTTTTTTGACCCCCGTTGTAGCTTTGAACTCCTGCGCTCAATCCTTGACCCTCTCCATCAGCCCCAGTCATGCTGCCCAGTGGAGGAAGCAGATCTTCCGACAGCTGTCGGAAAGGACTCATCGAGAGTTGGACAACTTCAGACATTACGAACAGGCGGTGGAACAAGTAAAGTGGAGAAAGGGGGAGAGGGGGAAGCAGGGGTTTTATTGGGATTCGCTGTCCAAACTTTGGAATCAAAAAAGTCTTCAAAGGAGAGCTTTATAAGAGAGAGACGGTTTGGCCTAGTGGTTGAAGCACCAAGCGGGAGATTAGAATTCTAGTCCCACTTTAGGCATGAAAGCCAGCTGGGTGATTTTGGGCCCATCACCAGGAGACAGTGAATTCTAGTCTCACCTTAGGTATGAAAACTGTCTGGGTGACTTTGAGCCAATCATCAGGAGACTGTGAGTTCTAGTCCCGCCTTAAGTATGAAAGCCAGCTGAGTGACTTCGGGCCAATCACTAGGAGATTGTGAGCTCTAGTTCCACCTTAGGCATGAAAACTGGCTGAGTTACTTTGAGCCAATCATCAGGAGACTGTGAGTTCTAGTTCCACCTTAGGTATGAAAACTGGCTGAGTTACTTTGAGCCAATCACCAGGAGACTGTGAATTCTAGTTCCACCTTAGGCATGAAAGCCAGCTGGGTGACTTCGGGCCCATCACCAGGAGATTGTGAGTTCTAGTTCCACCTTAGGCCTGAAAACTGGCTGAGTTACTTTGAGCCAATCACCAGGAGACTGTGAGTTCTAGTTCCACCTTAGGCCTGAAAACTGGCTGAGTTACTTTGAGCCAATCACCAGGAGACTGTGAATTCTAGTTCTGCCTTAGTCATGAAAGCCAGCTGGGTGATTTTAAGTCCATCACCTCTCTCTTTCAGCCCGATCTTCTTCACAGAGGTGTTGTGGTGGAGAAAATAGGAGGAAGGTGTGTAGGATAGAACTGTGTGTACGATAAGTTCTGTAAATATCAATAAATGTAAAGGAGAGGGCCATGTTGCTTTTGGACTTTGCCTCTTGCAGTCCGTCTGGGTCAAAACCGGAACTTTGCAGTGGTGGAGAAGCTGGAAGCCCTACCGTTGGGTTGACGTGCAGGTGGCCCTGGAACAGTTCACTGCCAACGACGGGACCCGGGACAGCATTCTCTTTATCTACTACACACACAACGAGGAAAAGAAGGTAGGCGCCTCTGAGCAGCCAGGTTGAATTTGCACCCGGTTCTTGACCCTGATTTGACCCAAAAATACAGGGAGTCCCTGCCTTACGACCCCAGCTGGGAGCAAGCAGAACTTCTAAGCGACGCAGCCATTAAGGGAGTCAACCCATGACCCTTGCCTATTTTGCCAGCTGTTTTGCCGTTGTTCTTAAACGAATCGCTGTCTTTGTTAAGGGGGCCGCATCCCCGTTAAGCTTCTTCCCTTGACTTTGCTTGTTTGGAATCTGGCTGGGGAGGTTGCAGAGGGTGATCACGTGATCCCGGGATCTGCAAAGTTGTCAGATGGGATCTGCCGTAGGAGCAGAACATTTTTATCATCGTAGCAGTAAAGTCTCCAATTTCTGTCCTGAAAAATGAAGTAGGAATTGAATGGCGAAGATCCCGAAGCGATGGGATTACGGTAAATGGCAAGTTAAAAATTCTCAAATAGCCAGTGGCCCTTGACCAAAACTTCTGAAATGGGAATTCAAAAGGTGTCCACTGGAGAGCAATAGTACCAAGCAGGAAAAAAACCTTGCAGTGTGCAAAATGTAACATATATTAATAATTAGCCCCTCTGCATTATTCCTCGACATTATTGGGTACCAAACTGAACTCAGGAACACATCCACGTGGTTCCTATGGCAACAGTAGGAACAGTGCTTTCTCCCCACATTTTCTGGGATATCTTTCTTAATTTCTCGCTCTAGCCTACAGCTTGGATAATCTTCCATCCAAGTTTGAACCAAGCCAAATTCTACTTAGCTACTAGAGGAAGACAATCCCAATAAGCCGTGAAATTTTTTACCTTTAAACTAAGTTTCTCCATCGCCCCTTCTTTCAATCAAAACATCTCTCTGTTCACTCAATCAGTTGCCATTGGTTTTCTAGTCCAAAAGCCTGTGAAAAATAGATGGCTGGTGTTAAAGATTATTTGCATTGTCAACTGCTGCTAAGACAAGACACCAAAATTTCAGATCTCCAGCATGTTGGGTCACGAATCACCAAAGCTTTGGATGGTCAAAACCAATCGTAATATTTGGGGGAGGAAAGAATATAGTGAAGTATAGAATATAGTTAAATTGTTGCCCGGGGGCTCCCAAGTTTCATTTTTTTTTAACTGCACTCTTTAAGCTGAAGATCTGATTTGACATTTCCTCTGTGTTCCCCAGTACATCCACATGTTCCTCAATGAAGTGACTATCCTAGTTGAGATTCTGAATGAGGCCAAACATTCTTTTGCTCTCTACACACCGGAGAAGACTAAACAACGGTGGCCCATCCGCCTAGCGGCAAGCACCGAACAAGAAATGCGTCATTGGGTATGTTTATAGATGACTTCCAAGCTGGTCAAGAACTTAATTGTAGCAGGGTTGACATATTGCTCCAAAATAATGATGCAATTTGTTGGTTTTTTGGACTTAATTTGTTGGCTGAGCCCAGCCCTGCTCTTGGTAAACCATAGTTGGTGGCTTAGCTCAAGGTGTAGAGTCAAGGTGATGGGTTGTTTATATCAGACTATGCTTTAGAAAGAGCTAAAAGCTTTCTTGAAATGGGACCATCCTCCAGCCATTTTGGGAATACAGTTCTCAAGGTGGTGAGCAAACCATGGGTGGGCCCTGGACCCACAGCCATCCAGTAGAAGGATGGAAAGTTGATGGGACTGGCTTGCTCTTCCAAAAAGATAGGAAGTATGGGGTCCTTGGTGCTCTCTGAGCTTGGTTGATTTCTTGCAGACATTTCATTACCAAACTAGGGAACATCATCAGTGCAAAAAGGGAGTAGATTTGCTCTTGATACTCAGGCAGATTAGCCATCAACAGGCACACAGAGATAAACAATAGATAGATAGATAGATAGATAGATAGATAGATAGATAGATAGATAGATAGATAGATAGATAGATAGATAGATAGATAGATAGATAGATAGATAGATAGATAGATAGATACTGTAGATACTGTAGATACTGTAGATAGAGAGATAGAGAGATAGATAGAAAAGAGAGACAGACTAACTATACACATACACATAAATACTATATTAAATTGCCCAACGTAAAGGTGTGATATAAATCTAATTAATAATAACTCCCATGTATAACACTGAGGTAATAAAGTTCAAAAGAGACAATCGCAAAGCCAAAAAAGAAACAGACAGACCAAAACACCTCCTGCCCAGTAATCAACATCCAGAGGAGCCGAATTAACACCAGGATTAACACTAGATCAGCAATCGAGAAGTAAACAATACCCCAATCAAGGAATCACCGACTCAGACAAAGAAGCTTATAGTAAACAACAGCCTAATCAAGGAATCACCAAGAACGTTCCCACCAACATAGACACTTGTAGTACTGAGCAGACCCCTTCTAGCACTGATGATGTTCCCTAGTTGGGTCATGAAATGTCTGCAAGAAAGCCACCGAGCTCAGAAAGCACCAAGGACCCCACAATTCAGTCCTGAGCTTCAGATAGTCTCTTCTAAAGAGAGGAAGTGTTTGAACCATGTCTATCTCTTTCCCAATTCCTTTGTGTCTCCCAGCTGGCACTGCTGAACATGTCTTGTTGTGAGGGCCGGCAGCTCCAGGGCCCCCCTTCTCATGAAGCCATCTGGTCGCTGACCTGCAAAGGCGACATCTTTGTGAGTGAGCCCAGCCCTGACTTGGAGGCTTTAGCACACCCGATGCCTTGTGATCAAATGTGAGCAATCTGACCTCAACCTCCCTTGCTAAATGTCTTTGGAACCAAGAATAATCTCTCTCTTTTGGAGAACTCTAGCACAGTTTGAAGGGATGGAGATCAACCAAGGGAAAGGGATTGAAATGAGTGAACCATTAAAGGGGGGCTTTTCCTAAAAGCTTTTTCAGTCCCGGAAAACAGGAGAGATTGCGCGAATTGGGTATCTCTAGTTTAACAAAGAGAAGGACCAGGGATGACATGATAGCAGTGGTCCAATATCTCAGGGGCTGCCACAAAGAAGACCGAGTCAAACTATTCTCCAAAGCCCCTGAAGGCAGGACAAGAAGCAACGGATGGAATCTAATCCAGGAGAGAAGCAACCTAGAATTAAGGAGAAACTTCTTGACAGGGAGAACAATTAACCAGTGGAACAACCTGCCTCCAGAAGTTGTGAATGCTCCAACACTGGAGGTTTTTAAGAAGAGACTGGGCAACCATTTGTCTGAAATGATATAGGGTTTCCTGCCTGAGCAGGGGGTTGGACTAGAAGACCTCCAAGGTCCCTTCCAACGCTACTATTCTGTCTAGCTTCACTTTAGGTTCTCTTATAAATGTAGAGCGCATTAAATCCTTTGTTTTATTACGGACGGATCCTGAGGCAATCTGAGCAGAGTGTCTTCTCCTTGTAGGTTTTGGCGCCAAGTCGGAGGACATCTGCGCCTGATTGAATGTAACAGTGACGGCATCGTGTGGGGAGTAAGTTATGACCACACCGCTTGGATTTACACTGGTGGATACGGAGGAAGTTTTTTGACGGGTAAGAAATGCCTCTTCCAGGCAATCCTTCTTCAGCTGAACACGAGGAGGGAGAAACAGCGGATGGAAACTAACCAAGGAGAGAAGCAACCTAGAACTAAGGAGAAATTTCCTGACAGTGAGAACAATTAACCAGTGGAACAACCTGCCTCTAGAAGTGGTGAATGCTCCAACACTGGAAGTTTTTAAGAAGAGACTGGACAGCCATTTGTCTGAAATGGTATAGGGTTTCCTGCCTGAGCAGGGGGTTGGACTAGATGACCTCCAAGATCTCTTCTAGTTTTATTCTATTCTATTCTATTCCATTCTATCACTAGTTGTGATTCACTTAACAAATGCAGCGAGGAAAGTCATAAAATGGGACAAAAGCCACTTAACAAATTTCTCACTTAGCAACGTAAATTCTCGCCTCGATTGTGTCCGTAGGTTGAGGGCTACCTGTATGTGGTTGACTAATATCCTGGGTTAATTAAATAATGCTGTATTTCAACCATCCCACACATCTGCTGTAATTCACAGCGTTATAGCTTGATTTTTTAGAGGAAAGAAGATCATTAAATCCTAATTTAAAAAAACAAACAAAAAACAAGAAAGGAAAACGAAACAAAGGAATAATGTTCGTGCCTTGGCTTATATAGGGCTGGCAGGCAGCACTGAGAACATTCACACCCAGACCGACGTGAAGAGCGTCCATATTTATGAAAACCAGCGGTGGAATCCTGTCACGGGCTACACTAACAGGTAGGAAAAGTAGACAGGTTAAAAACTACATTTTTTGCCAGTCTGTTGCAGCAGGAATTATGCTACCGGGTCATTTTCATGTCTGCCCCCCTCCCAAAAAACAAATGAACATCTCTCAATTTGCATTTTTTTCTTGCAAACATGCTTGACCCACAATGCAGATGTGCTGAGTCTTGTGCCTGTTTGCCTTCACAGAGGCCTGCCCACCGACCGGTATATGTGGAGCGATGTGTCTGGCTTACGCGAGTGTACCAAAGCGAACACCAAGCCTCCATCGCCCCAGTGGAGTTGGGTAAGTGGAATTGCTCTCTGGCCCTTGGTACCGATAAAGGAGAATATTTGTAGCTCAGGATTGACCTGTGGGGGTCCTTGGTGCTCTCTGAGCTTGGTGGTTTCCTTGCAGATGCTTCATGACTCGACTAGGTAACACCATCAGTGCTAGAAGGGAGTTGGGTGTGTGGAGAGGAGGAGGAGGAGGAGGAGGAGGAGGAGGAGGAGGACAATAACTGTGGGGTCCTTGGTGCTCTCTGACCTTAGTGGTTTCCTTGCAGATGTTTCATGACCCAACTAGGTAACACCATCAGTGGTAGAAGGGAGTGGGGTGTGTGGAGAGGAGGAGGAGGAGGAGGACGACGACAATAACTGTGGGGTCCTTGGTGCTCCCTGAGCTTAGTGGTTTCCTTGCAGACGCTTCATGACCCAACTAGGTAACACCATCAGTGCTAGAAGGGAATGGGGTATGTGGAGAATATCAGAACCCATATTCTAAGGGGACTCCTTTCTTGCTTTAAACTCAAACTCTGTTCTCTCTATACTTCTGGGTTTTGAAGTCCACCAGTCTTCAAGATTGCAGACTCCTGGTCTAGTCTAACAAAGAGAAGGTCTAGGGGCGACATGATAGCAGTCTTCCAGTACTTGAGGGGCTGTCATAGAGAGGAGGGGGGGGTCAACTTATTCCCTAGAGCACCTGAGGACAGAACACAAAGTAACAGCTGGAAGTCCCAAAGGTGTTTTTCCAAAAGGCAACTTGATGTTTTTCCTTGAAAATGTTTCGCTTCTCATACAACAAGCTTCTTCAAGTTCATCCAAGCTTCTTCAAGTTCATCCAAGCTTCTTCAAGTTCATCCAAGCTTCTTCAAGTTCATCCAAGCTTCTTGGATGAGAAGTGAAATGTTTTCAAGGGAGAAAAAAAAGCAAGAAACTCCAGTTGTCTTTTTAGAAAAGCATATTTGGGACAATCACGACCTGGATGATGGAGCATCTCCATATAACCAGTGAAAAATGATTAAAGAGAGATTTTTTTTTTCCAGTTCAGGCAACTCCTGTACAGGAGGCAAGGGAATCAAGTGTTGTTATTTTGCTTTTCTCTCTGCAACGCAGGTGTCTGACTGGGCTATCGATTTCAGCGTTTCGGGCGGGACTGACCGAGAAGGTTGGCAATACGCAGGCGATTTTCCCGCGTAAGGATCTCTTGTCTTCTCTCCCATCCTTCCCCACATATAATTGGGTTAGAATCAGGGGTAGGCAACCTTGGCTCTTTCATGATGTTGACTTCAACTCCCAGAATTCCTGAGCCAGCATGGCTCAGCTTGGAAAACTCTCCCTTTCCCTTCAGCATGGCTGGCTCAGGAATTCTGGGAGTTAAAGTCCACAAGTCATAAAAGAGCCAAGGTTGCCTACCCCTGGGTTAGATCATGGAAGTGGTTGACCCCACTTTGGATGGAAGGCCTTAGCTGATGAGGAAACACGTGGAATAACAATTTGGGGGAAGGAAAGTATTGCAGTTTTGAAAAGAAACATTTGGAAGCAACTAAAGATGGGAAGGCCTGGGGAAAAAATGAAAAAATCAGGGGGGGGTTTGGGTTTTTTCCCTCCCCCCCCAAGCCGTTTAAAAAGCTGCATCGTCAATACAGACTCTAGAAAGAGTGCAACAATGATGATTAGGGGGCTGGAGGCTAAAACATGAAGAACGGTTGCAGGAACTGGGTTTTCTAATCTGGTGGGGGGGAAAAAAGACTAGCAGAGACATGATAGCAGTGCTCCAATATTGGAGGGGCTGCCCCAAAGAAGAGGGAGTCAAGCTATTCTCCAAAGCACCCGAAGGCAGGACAAGAAGCAACGGGTGGAAACTGATCAAGGAGAGAAGCAACCTGGAACTAAGGAGAAACTTCCTGACAGTTAGAACAATTAACCAGTGGAACAACCTGCCTCCAGAAGCGGTGAATGCTCCAACCCTGGAAGTTTTTAAGAAGAGACTGGACAGCCATTTGTCCCAGATGGTATAGGGTTTCCTGCCTGAGCAGGGGGTTGGACTAGAGGACCTCCAAGGTCCCTTCCAACTTTACTATTATTATTATTATTATTATTATTATTATTATTATTATTATTATTAAGCAACGGATGGAAACTAATCAAGGAGAGAAGCAACCTGGAACTAAGGAGAAATTTCTCGACAGTGAGAACAATTAATCAGTGGAACAACCTGCCTCCAGAAATTGTAGGCGCTCCATCACTGGAGGCTCTTAAGAAGAGATTGGACAACCACTCGTTTGAAATAGTGTAGGGTCTCCTGCTTGATCAGAGGGTTGGACTAGAAGACCTCCAAGGTCCCTTCCAATTCTGTTATTCTGTTATTCTCTGTTCCCAACAGGTCTTATCACGGCTACAAAACAATGAAGGACTTCGTGCGCCGGAGACGCTGGGCCAGGTAAACCTTTTGCCAAGCCCTAAAGTCCGTTTAAAGCAGGTTATCCCCTCCCCCCCTTTTTTTTTGTTTGCAGTAAACTCCTTGTTTCTACTCTTGGTTGTTTCTTTAAAACATCCGATGCCATTCCAAAGACAACGTTTGCTTTGGCCGATAAAGGATGTCGGTTTGGCATCTGATAAAAGATAAATAGATAGACCTCCAGACCAGCTTTTCCTAGCTGGGCACTTTTAGCCCTCCAGTTGGACAGAAAATCCCAGTATTTTCAGCTCGTCGAGCCCCACGTCAGGAGAGAAGAACCTAAAACTAAAGCGATTAAAGCATTGGTTGAACTGGTTTACACTTTGCACAGAGTTGTGTTTTGTTTGGATCAGGGCTGGCTGAATAAATGGCAAGGGACAGTAAGCCCTACCTCATAATCCGTTTGTTCTTTCATTCACCAAGGGCTATTTAGGAGAGTCCGCGTGGAATGTTTTTCTCAAAGAAGCCAATTAATGGCTCAGCCAGCGTGTGATTGGCTTAAGGCCATTCCTTAAGTTTCGATAGAAGAGAACATTTGTGGCTCAGGATTGACCTGTGGGGGTCCTTGGGGTTCTCTGGGCTTGGTGGTTTCCTTGCAGACGTTTCGTGACCCAACTAGGTAACAGCATCAGTGCTAGAAGGGAGTGGGGGTTGAAGGAGAGGAGGAGGAGGAGGAGGAGGAGGAGGACTGTAGGGTCCTTGGTGCCCTATGAGTGGTTGTTTTCTTGCAGATGTTTCATGACCCAACTAGGTAGCATCATCAGTGCCAAAAGAGAGTGGGGGTTGAAGAAGAGAGGAGGAGGAGGAGGAGGAGGAGGAGGAGGAGGAGGAGGACTGTAGGGTCCTTGGTGCTCTCTGAGCTTGGTGGCTTTCTTGCAGACGTTTCATGACCCAACTAGGTAACATCATCAGTGCCAAAAGGGAGTGGGGATTGAAGGAGAGAGGAGGAGGAGGACGACGACAATGACTGTGGGGTCCTGGGTGCTCTCTGAGCTTGTTGGTTTTCTTGCAGACCTTTCATGACCCAACTAGGTAACACAATCAGTGCTGGCAGTCTGCCTCCCATCCTCTCCTTCTCTTTTCTTCCCAGGAAGTGTAAAATCGTCACAAGTGGGCCCTGGCTGGAAGGGCCTCCGATCGCTTTGCGAGATGTTTCTATCATGTCACAGCCTCCTGGCTCCAAGGAAGAGTTTGTTCCTCTCTGGGGCATCAGCGACAAGGGAGACGTGCTCTGCCGGCTGCAGGTCACACCCCAAAACCCAGCGGTAAAACTTTCCCCCCTCTTTGATATTGATTCCTGGCTGAACGGAGGTGTTACTACAAGCCAGTCGTTTTAACCTCCCAAGGATCCTTCCTCAACAACCCGGAAATTATTTTCTGTGACCGTATTTGAGGAAGCTCAGTTTGCGTCTGAACGACGTTGGGTCGCCTCTGTGTTTTCTTGGCAGTACAGGCAGTCCTCAGCGTACGGCCCCAATGGAGCCCAAAATTTATGTTGCTAAGTGAAACATTTGCCAAGGGAGTTTTGCCCCATTTTACGACCTTTTTGCCACAGCTGTTAAGTTAATCGCTGTAGCTGTTAAATGAGTAACCTGGTTGTTAAGTGAATCTGGCTTCCCCATTGACTTTGCTTGTCAGAAGATCACAAAAGGGGATCACCCTGGGGTACTGCAAACTGTCACAAGTACATGCCAGTTGCTAAGCCTCTGAATTTTGATCATGTGATGCTGCAACGGTCGTAAGTATGAAAAGCAGTCATAAGTCACTGTTTTCGGTGCCATTGTAACTTCAAAGGGCCACTAAACAAACTGTTCATAAATCAAGGATTATTGGTACGTTGGACTGGAAGACTGCTCCTGCTTAACTTTTTGGAGATCTACCTGGCCACAGCTTGCACGACCCAACGAAGGACCGGGAAGGGATGGAGAAGGACGTTCATCTCTTGAAGGTGGTCCAAGACTCAGCAAGGTTTTTTTCACCCGCGCTTTCTCCCCCATTAGGGCACCTCCTGGCTGCACGTGGGAACAGACCAACCCTTTGTATCAGTCTCCATAGGAATGTTCCACCAAGTCTGGGCTGTTGCCCAAGATGGATCGGCATTCTGTCGCGGTTCAGTCTCTTCCAAAAAACCAGAAGGTGAGTTTTTAGTCAGTCAAGAGTGAAGTTAGAGCAGTCGCCAACTCTGATTTTCCTGCACCTCTGATGCTCAGCCAGCCCCAAAGTCACCCAGCCAGTTTTCGTACCTAAGGTACGTGTCAAGAGTGAAAATTTGGCAGCGACCTGCCTCTCTGTTTTCATCTTGCCATTAGAGTAACGGGGTGGGGGCTGGAGTCGCTTTCAAATGGGTTAGTTAGAGAAACGAAACGTCTCCAGTTCTACGGAAGCTTGCTGTGAGTTGGCAGTATGGAACCCTTTGAAGGACGTTCTAGCAGGTGTGAAGAAGATAGCAGACGGGTCTCGTAACCTTGCTCAGTGTTAGTAACTGTGAGAGGGATCTCAGAGTCCTAGTGGATGATCCCTTAAATATGAGCCAGCCGTGTGCTGCAGCTGCCAAAAAAGCCAACGGAATCCTAGGCTGCATTAACAGAGGGAGAGAATCAAGATCACGTGAAGTGTTAATACCACTTTACAAGGCCTTGGTAAGGCCATACTTGGAATACTGCATCCAGTTTTGGTCACCACGATGTAAAAAAGATGCTGAGGCTCTAGAAAAGAGTGCAGAGAAGAGCAACAAAGATGATCGGGGGACTGGAGGCTAAAACATATAAGGAACGGTTGCTGGAATTGGATATGTCTAGTCTAATGAAGAGAAGGACGAGGGGGGACATGATAGCAGTCTTCCAATATCTAAAGGGTTGACATAAAGAAGTCAATCTATTCTCCAAAGCATTGAAGGCAGGACAAGAAGCAAGGGATGGAATAATCAGGGAGAGAAGCAACCTGGAATTAAGGAGAAACTTCCTGACAGATAGAACAATTAACCAGTGGAACAACCTGCCTCCAGAAGTTGTAAATGCTCTAACACTGGAGGTTTTGAAGAAGAGATTGGACAGCCGTTTGCCTGAAATGATATAGGGTCTCCTGCCTGAGCAGGGGGTTGGACTAGATGACCCCCAAGGTCCTTTCCAACTATTATTATTATTATTGTTGTTGTTGTTGTTGTTGTTGTTGTTATTATTATTATTATTATTATTTCTACTACTACTACAAAGAGAACTTGTTTACATGAGTTACGTGGACATCTGGGAGGGCTGGCTGGGAAAGTCATATGCTTTGGTCTGATGCCTTGGGATTTTAGAGTTAGTTTTACCTCACTTTTACCAAGCCATGTATTCAATAAACAAAGCTTTTCAGAAATGAAAATAATCCTGAACTTTTAACTGGATACTCCGAGCTGGAGATTGACAGTAGGCTTAAAACTCACCATCTCCTGGTTTTTTTTTAATCCAGCCTCTTAACCACAACACCGAACTGACTCAACCCAGAGTTCCTGCTGTGTTTTGAACCAGTCACAATTAGGTTAGAAGTTGTGTTGTTAATATTTTTTCAAGGAACAAAAAGTAAACGCTTTTAAGTTTCCCACCAATTAAAAGAGGGGAGAGGGTGACTTTTGTTTTTGTTTTTCTCCCTGCACAAAGGGTGAAAAAGCCAAAATGAGGATTTTTCAGCCTTTGCCCATTAATCCCAGCCAACAAAATCGAAAATGTTGGCCTCACACACAACGTGGTGATCGTTGAATGTAATCCAAGAATCCTGCAAGGGGCAAAAATCTGCCACACCTAAACAAAACTCAAGTTTGTATTTCAGGGCCTGCCTTAATTCAATAAATTTCAAATCCATAACAAATCAGGAGATTATTCTTGTTTCTTTCACCCCTTGCTGGTTTTCTGGGAATATCCAGGCGAATGCTGGTACCACGTCCCTTCACCTCTGAAGCAGAAATTAAAGCAAGTCTCCGTGGGACGAACGGCTGTGCTGGCCGTGGATAAAAATGGTGAGGAGAGAATCCGGTGTTCCTGGGTGGTTTTTATTTTTTTAATGGTGGTTTTGAAAAACAAAATAATCCTGGTTTCTTGGAGTTGCTGGTCAGTTGTGTAATTGCTCCATTGGAAAGGAAGTGTAAATTACCTCAGAAAATCACTGAACAATCCATAATTGCTTGTGTTTAGCAATGTAATTGTTAACCATTAATTCACAATTGTTAACAATATATATACACACACACATACTATATATATATACACACACACATATACTATATATACATACACATATTGTCCTTAACAACATTAAAAATGCGAATCCTGGGTATACACATATCAATAAAAATATAGAAAAACGAACACCAGGATAAAAATAAACCAGACCGTTGAATATAAACAAGCTTGTAAGTAAAAGAGTTACTGAGCTTTCGTCGGCCAGACTACCAATGTCATCAGAGTTGGAATGCATACACACACATATATATATATACACACACACACAGACATTATATTGTCCACTCCTTTTTGTCTTTTATAGGTAATTTGTGGTTTCGTGCTGGAATCACACCAAGTTACCCTCAAGGATCTAGTTGGGAACACATTTCGAACAACGTCCGCAAAGTTTCCGTTGGACCCTTGGATCAGGTGGGGCCCTAACAGAAAGGGATCTCTTTGAAGCACCTAAAAGCCAAGTGTTTCTCCACCTCGGCCATTTTAAGATGAGTGGGCTTCAACAGAATTGGGCCTAATAATCCCAGAGAAAATATTTTCGTTTTTTGTCTTGAAGACAGTTCGCTTCCCATCCAATAAGTTTTTCCCGTTCTCTAGAGCCTGGAGGAACTTCTAGGAAATGGGCACCTTGTGATCAGTAGATCTACTGCCATGGGAGATATTTTATGAGTAGAAAAATACCCCTCCAGACTGCCATTTTGTGAGAGCACCTCAGCCATCTTTTCCCGATTCAAAAATTTCCCACCTGGCCTCCCAAAGGTTGTCCATCTTTGACGTGGGCATTACATGTGAATGGAAGGTGGGCTGTAATGTCTCTCCGGTTGTATCTTTGTTTTTTTAGATCTGGGTGATAGCTGACAAAGTCCAAGGGAGTCACAGTCTGAGCTGTGGAACTGTCTGCCACCGGACCGGAGTCCAGCCTCTGGAACCAAAGGGGGTCTCTTGGGACTACGGCATTGGGGTGAGCATCAGAAACACCAACTGTTGGCTCTCTCCATGATCCAGAGAGGTCTATAAGCAGAAGATTGCAGGTCATGGGTTGAAGGCTTCTGAAAAGTCAGGTTCCCACTGTGGGCTCCTTGGTTCTCTCTGAGCTTGGTGGTTTTTGTGCAGACGTTTCATGACACAGCTAGGTGATAACATCAGGGTTAGAACGGAGTTGGGTTTGTGGAGGGGGGAGGAGAGGAGGAGGTGGAGGAGGAGGAGGAGGAGGAGGAGGAGGAGGAGGAGGAGGAGGAGAACTTGTGGGGTCCTTGGTGCTCTTTGAGCATAGTAATTTTCTGGTGGACATTTCATTACCCAACTAGGTAACATCATCAGTACTAGAATTGGGTTTGCTCTGTAGATAGATAGATAGATAGATAGATAGATAGATAGATAGATAGATAGATAGATAGATAGATAGATAGATAGATAGATAGATAGATAGACAGACAGACAGACAGACAGACAGACAGACAGACAGACAGACAGACAGACAGAGATATATAGATAGATATAGATATAGATATAGATATAGATATAGATATAGATATAGATATAGATATAGATATAGATATAGATATACAAGTGGCTTGCCCTGTTTTGTGTTGGTGGGAGTGTCCTTGGTAGTTCCTTGATTAATGTTAGTTTGTTTGTCTGCGTTGGTGGATCCTCGATTGGAGTATTATTGACTTATAGATTGTTGGGTCTAGTGTTCGTCTTGGTTTTAATCTCTGCTCCTATGGGTGTTGATTAGTTGGTGAGGAGATGTTTTGGCCTTTTTATTTCCTTTTGGCCTTTCTGATTGTCCCAGGGTCCAACTTGTAAGGAGTGAGCCCTTCTGACATTTGAAACAGAAGCTGACGTAGCTCTGTTGTGTAGTTGGACCACTTTGTGTCAGGTCCAGAGAGCCCGGGACACTCTAGTTGCCTGCATTTATAAAGCAATCTATCTGTTGTCCCAAAGGTGCTTTTTCACGAGGCAACTGGACTTTCTTGTTTTTCTCTGAAGATGTTTCGCTTCTCCTCCAAGAAGCTTCTTCAGCTCTGCCCAATTGATCTGTTGTTCTCAAGGGCTGAAGAATCTTTAAAACGAAGGACTTCTCCTGCCCTGGTTTAAATACCCACAATGCTTTGCTCCCACCCCTTCATCCCCAAAGAGTGAGATCCAGTGATTTTTCCAACACCTCTTTTCTAAGCTATTCCCTCTCGCTCCTGATTTTGCAGGGAGGATGGGAACACGTCACCATACGAGGAAACGCAACCGAAAGCATCAAGATGGCAGCTCGGGATGACCCAAGCAGCTCTCCTCCTGACCTTAGTAGCTTAGAGGTTCATGGAAGCCACCAGTCACAAACAACCGTTTTTGTAGATGGTGTCCAAGGCTTGGACAGAAACGCTGTCCAATGTTGACCGGTCTCTTCAAGTTTCCACCTCCGGCTCATTCCGTGTGTCCTAGATCATGGAAGCTACACCGAAGAGTAGACTGGTTTTCGAACACTCGCTCCGAGCGGGCAAAGAGACCAAGTCAACTCCAAGCATGCGATCTACCAACCCTTTTCATCTTGCTTCCCTTTGGCGAGAGCAGCCGAAGTCAACCCAGTCCTCGTCGAAATGATGCTCCAACCTGGGGGGGGGTGTCTCCCAGGTGCCTGATTGTGATCATCTCCTAGAATTCCCCAGTTCTCGATGAGCATTCTGGGAGCTGGATTCACCCCCAGTGGAGAAGATACAAGATGGAGAAGATCAAACTTGGAGACCGTTGAATGGAGAGACTGCATGTCCCATCACCTCAGTGGGAGAACTGTGTGTGTGTGTGTGTGAATTCTGTTTATGTTGTTGTTTTAACCCCTTAATTTATTGTGGTATTTCTTAGGCCTGGTGCAAATTGATGTTCTCCGGTAGGCCCTGGATTCATTCCCATCAACTAAGCCTTGGTTTATGTTGGCCAGTACATGACCCAATATGTAGGCGAAGAGGGTCAATGAACCCTTTCTATTATAAGCCCCCACCTGGAGTATATTTGACCCCGATCCCGGCTTTGTTAGATGTTGTTGCACAGGCAGGTCCTGATCTACGGTAAGCCAGCCTCCCTGGCAGGGTGGACATGACTAAACTGAGCCAGTTAGTGAATTCTATAGCAAGCACTTCTATATTTTATTTTTTCTTCAAATGCCCCAGGAGTTGTACATTCATCACCCAATAATGAGAATTGGCACAGAAGAAGCTAGGGATTGAAAGCCAAGGTTGGCAGCTGGCAACCCCTGGGTTAAAAACAGCTGTGAAAATGGTCAGTGGCTCCCTTTTGCCTGTTGATTTAGAGCAGTTTTCCATCTCAGCAACTCAAAGATGTCTGGTTTCTTTCTTTTTCTCTTTCTTTCTTTTTCTTTCTCCCTTTCTTTCTTTTTCTTTCTTTCTTTTCTCTCTTCCTTTTCTTTCTTTTTCTTTCTTTCTTTCTCCCTCCCTCCTTTCTTTCTTTCTTTCTTTCCTTTTTTCTTTTCTTTCTTTCCTTTCCTTTCTCTTTTCTTTCTTTCTTTCTTCCTCCCTCCCTCTCTCTCTCTTTCTTTCTTTCTTTCTCTCTCCCTCCCTCCCTCCATCCCTCCCTCTCTCTCTTTCTTTCTTCCTTCCTTCCTTCCTTTCTTTCTCTTTCTTTCTTCCTTCCTTCCTTCCTTCCTTCCTTTCTTCCTTCCTTCCTTTCTCTTTCTTTCTTTCTTCCTTCCTTCCTTCCTTCCTTCCTTCCTTTCTTTTTCCTAAAATAACTAAGTGAAGGATGTTTCTGCCCCCTTGCTGAGTCCTGTGGACCTTAATCAAAACAAAGAGTTGTGTCTTGTGCTGCCTTTTCAGAGAAAGAGAGAGACAGTAACATCACGGCACACTTGCAGAGACGTTTTGCATTTGAAATCAAAATCTTTACATATCTTTTCCCCTTTAGAGCTAGGTGTGTGTGTGTAGCTCTGACACCAAGTAAACGGAGGGCAAAATACAGAAGAGTTGAGCACGTTAAGGGGGGTGGTGAAATGGTTGTTCTGTTTTAAAAGCAGGATGGTTCCTTTTGCATCGGTGGTTGGTTTTTTCAGAGGGATATTTTTATATTTATTGCTGTGGGGGGAGAATAAAAAATTGTGGCACGGGTGCATGAGTGGATCTTGACACGTGGACACCTGTTTATGAAATATTCACATTTTATTCAATAGTCAAGCAAAAGTGGAACACATTTTGCCACAGATGTTTTTCCCCCCCTCTGCTGAGGAACAAGAAGTGAAGAATGTACATGTATGCTTAAATAAAAATTCACCCATGCCAAGAATCGAAACACAATAAGATGTAGAAATGGCCCAGATGGGACAATAAAACCAGATGTAAACCGTGTACATGTTATGATCATTCAAAGCTACAAGGGCCATGATCAAAATTCAGACGCTTGGCCACTGACTCGTGTTTATGACACTAAAATGGGGGCAAACCCGCTGTTTCATTTAGCAACAGACATCTTAGGCTCAGTCGTGGTCGTAAGTAATAATAATAAAGTTGGAAGGGACCTTGGAGGTCATTTAGTCCAACCCCCTGCTCAGGCAGGAAACCCTATACCATTTTGGACAAATGGCTGTCCAGTCTCTTCTTAAAAACTTCCAGTGTTGAAGCATTCACAGCTTCTGGAGGCAGGTTGTTCCACCGGTTAACTGTTCTCACTGTCAGGAAGTTTCTCCTTAGTTCTAGGTTGCTTCTCTCCTTGATTAGTTTCCATCCGTTGCTTCTTGTCCTGCCTTCAGGTGCCTTGGAGAATAGCTTGACTCCCTCTTCTTTGGGGCAGCCCCTGAGATATTGAAAGACTGCTGTCATGTCTCCCCTCGTCCTTCTCTTCATTAAACTAGACATACCCAATTCCAGCAGCCATTCCTTATATGCTTTAGCCTCCAGTCCCCTGATCATCTTTGTTGCTCTTCTCTGCACTCTTTCTAGAATCTCAACATCTTTTTTACATCGTGGTTGAACTTAACCTGTAATAAACGTGGGCCTCCCTCAAAAGCCAGAAAGACCTGGCTATAAATCAGTCATGCTTTCTAGACAGGATATTTCTTTCTGAGCTAAATTCCTCTCTATGAGAAGCTGTCAGCCAGGTTTAGTTGCCCCCCCCTCGCAAATCCTTCCATTGTTCCTAGTTTTGCAAATGAGCAATCCAGGCAGGGCAGAAGCCCAAAACCATGGACCTGATTTTCAAGTAGAGTTTTGTGTGTTCACATGCATTTCCTCTCTGCCAAATCTTCCCTGGCTGCTTCAGTTCTAAGCTGGAAGAGAGAGGAGCAGATGTGCCGAAGAATCTGGAGAGAAGAGGGTGGGTGGGTTCCCCACCCCCAGTCCCAAACTGGCTTTTCTGCTCTGCCTTTAAGTGTCTTCCTCAAGAGATTAAGAGGAGCTGTGTTTGGGTTGGCACCAAGATGGAAAGTGGATACTGTAATATCTTTACCTGCTTAATTTGTGCAAAGTGATTTTCGATTGTTCCTGGACTGGTACAGCAAGACTCTTTAACTGCTTAAAGGTCAAAAGTTTCAAGCTTGCTGATTTAGGGAGGGGGGTCTAAAGCTGGGAAGGAGGGAATGAAAAAAAGAATAATAGAGTTGGAAGGGACCCGGGAGATCTTCTAGTCCAACCCCCTGCTTGAGCAGGAGATCCTATACCAGTTTAGACAAGTGACTGTCCAGTAGCTTTTTAAAAGCCTCCAGTGTTGGAGCACCCACAACTTCTGGAGGCAAACTCTTCCACGGATTAATTGTTCTCACTGTCAGGAAATTTCTCCTTCGTTGGTTGTCCTGCCTTCAGGTGCTGTAGAGAATAGCTTGACTCCCTCTTCTTTGGGGCAGCCCCTGAGATACTGAAAGACTGTTATCATGTCACCCCTGGTCCTTCTCTTCATTAAACTAGACATGCCCAATTCCAGCAACCGTTCCTTATATGTTTTAGCCTCCAGACCTCTAATCATCTTTGTTGCTCTTCTCGGTACTCTTTCCAGAGTCTCAACATCTTTTTTTACATCGTGGTGACCAAAACTGGATGTTTTCCAGGATAGGAAGAACCAGTGTTGGAAGCAGTAGAAGAACTGGGATCAGAATCTCCATGTTAAATTCTGTGTCCAGCTTCCGACTTTGGACTGGAGAAGGTGAACTTATCTGAGAATTTACCACAGGGAACATCTTAAGCATGTTCCTCAAGTCCCACAGAAAGCAACAGAGAGGGGGCTTGTTTAGAACAGGGGTCCCCAACCCCCGGTCCGTGGACCAGTACCGGGCTGCGGCATGCCAGCAACCGGTCCGCACAAACAAGCAAAGCCCCATCCGTGGGATGCAGGCAGCACACGAAACCACGCACTCTCCGGTCCGTGAAAAAACCTTTCTCCACGGAACCGGTCCCTGGTGCCCCAAAGGTTGGGGACCTCTGTTCTAGAGATCAACTTGATTCCACCTCTCATGGCTCCAAACAGCACAGAATTCAACTCTTGTCTTGAACCCCATCCAGCAGAATGTCGTGGTCCTACCCAGTGTGACATTTGCACTCAAAATGCCAGCCGAGAACAATCCACGTCTCTGTAGGTGTGTGAACTTAAAACAATGCCCTTCGGAGAAGGGTGATCAAACTCTGGGGAACAGATCAAGTTCTCCGCAGCCGCCTTGAAATCATCTTGTTCTCAATGAAGACGGCATTGTTTGTGTTTAATAAGTCTTATCCTGTTCTTCCTAAGCGATGCAGAAGATTCGACTTTGATCAAGGGCACTTTTGCCAAAGCGGTAAACAACGGTGACCTTTCCCAACAATTCTTTGTGCACCTTTTCCAGGGCTTTGTTCTCCTGCAACGGGGACATTTTGAATGTCACCAAAGGCAAACAAAGGAAGGTGCACAGCCGTTCGGCTGTTGAAAAGGTCGCCTGACTTGCTGTGTGACTGTCATGCCTGGATAAATTGTTCTTACTTGCAGCTTGCTCCCAAACATAATAGTTCTGCAGTGTGTGTGTGTGTGTGTGTGTGTGTGTGTGTACAGTATATATATATGTATGTATGTATGTGTATGTATGTATGTATGTGTGTATATATGTATATATGGAATGGTTGCTGGAATTGGGTATGTCTAGACTCTAGTCTAATGAAGAGAAGGACGAGGGGGGACATGATAGCAGTGTTCCAGTATCTCAGGGGCTGCCACAAAGAAGAGGGAGTCAAGCTATTCTCCAAAGCCCCTGAAGGCAGGATAAGAAGCAACGGATGGAAACTAACCAAGGAGAGAAGTAAACTAGAACTAAGGAGAAACTTCCTGACAGTTAGAACAATTAACCAGTGGAACAACCTGCCTCCAGAAGTGGTGAATGCTCCAACACTGGAAGTTTTTAAGAAGAGACTGGACAGCCATTTGTCTGAAATGGTATAGGGTTTCCTGCCTGAGCAGGGGGTTGGACTAGATGACCTCCAAGNTTGTTGTTGTTGTTGTTGTTATTATTATTATTATTATTATTATTATTATTATTATTATTATTATTATTATTATTATATATTTTAAGGTAAGAAATGTGAATGGGGTTAAAAGGTGGCCAGTTCAGGACATCTGATTAAGGCAGCTATTGTTCTGATGCTCCCTCCCCCCCAGAAGGAAACAGGAAAAAAACCTGACTTTAAATAAAATGTACTTTATTCTCCAGAAAACACACACAGCTGGCTCCTAAACAGCTAGTGGCTGGATTACTGGAAGAAAAGACACCACACTATAAAGAAATGTTCTTTTAAATAATAGTACGGACTCTTCTCCTTTCTAGTTTTTGGCATGAACAGAGTTTGTTATCTTGGTGGTGTTATCGCAGCAGTCACTTTTCACTTTGTACGTTGCCAAGACGGAATGCCCAGTTTTTTCCGTTTTTACAAACTGCTCCGAATTCATTGGATCACCTTGCTGGCACAAAACAGAGTCATCTTTGTTCTTAAGATGCTACCTCTCTCCTTTGTTGACCCCAGAATGATTTCTGATTAATTGAGCACCAGCTCTTTATTTAAATATATGTTCCTGGGTGCCCTCCCCTCTCCCCCCAGCTATTGAATGGGATTAAAGAATCGGTTACATAACGTTGAGTGTTAGAAGACACCCATCCATCCACAGCCATTGTAGAAGTCTTCTCTTGGTCTCCCACAAAGGAATCCCCACTTCAGCTAACACGGAGATGCTTTTGTTTTCTTTTCAGAACTGGGTGTTCATCAACCATCGCAACTTTAAAACGTGTGGACTTCAGCTCCCAGAATTCCCCAGCCAGCCATCACTGCTTGAAAAATTCTGGGAGTTGAGGTCCACACATCTTAAAGTTGCCAGGGTTGAAAAGCACTGGTTGAACTCTTGCTGTAAATAGATTTGACAGTTGACCATGGCTGAAGGACCTTCAGGGAGCAGATGACCCCACAGGAACTGGTGAAAGAGGACACCGTTGTCCAGCCTGCCACTTCTGCTATAAAGTAATGGAATAGTAAGCAAAAACCTATCTATCTCCAGCTAGGCTGGGAAGATTTCATTACTTCCTTACAGGTAGGGATCTTCAAGTGGGGAAGTGTGAATTCCTGCAAGACCTAGCCAGATTTGAGGGTTGTCACTTGATGTTTTTGCAGGAAAAAAGACAAATTGGGGGGTTCCAATTTTTACACTAAACTAGTATCTACTCTGAAAGTCAATGGGTGTAGTGATTAAAGGCCCTGGGTTGAAACTAGGAGATCGTGAGTTCTAGTCCTGCCTTAGGTATGAAGCCAGACATTGGGCCAGCCATTCTTATTTTATATCTTATTTTATATATGCTAATTGGGGGGGGAATCATAATTGTTTTATGCCGGATGAAGATTTTAAATGGAAGGAATATTAAGGAATTGATAACTAGTTTTCAGAATGAATTTTTCTTATCTCCCTTTTTAACCCTACATATACGCGCTGAATTTTATTCCCCGGTTCATAATGACTGTAAATTTGTTAGAAATATACGTTTTATGGAAATTAGAGAAAAACAAAACCAACGCCAATGGGAATTTGAATCGGAAGCTCACCCAGAAATGTTCCTGTCCATTAGCAGAAAAGGAAGAATAGAAAGAAAGAAAAAACACCAGCCTGTTTTATTAATAACGGCGTTCATTCTTTTATTGTATTCCTCAGTGTTTGCTGTTTCTTCCAGACAGAATTTCCCATCGATTCAAAATAAACCTCTCGGTCATTCCTTCTTTCAGTCAAAACAACTTTCTGTTCACCCAATTAATTACCATTTGCTTTCTAGTCCAAAAGCCTGTGAAAAATACATTGCTGGTGGTTGCTATTAAAGATTATTTACACTGTCAATCGATACTAAGACAGGACACCAACATTTCAGATCTCCAGCATGTTGGCTCAAGGATCACCAAAGCTTTGGATGGTCAACACCAAACCTAATATTTGGGGGAGGGAAGAATATAGTGCATGGCTGGCTGGGGAATTCTGGGAATGGAAGTCCACAGCCTCAATTTGCCAAGGTTGCGAAACAATGGTTTAGAACGTGGCTTAATGAGACGCACAAGTCAAATTTCCCCCCTTTTACAGGGGCTGTTAATCTTACCTAGTTTGGCTGTGGGGCAATGCTGACAGAAGCTGGGAGTTATAGTCCAGCTCAGTGGTGGGATTCAAATACGTGAACAACCGGTTCTCTGCGTGGATGCCACTTCCGGAAGTCCATTCTGGGCCTGGGCAACAAAAAATTAGCTACCGGTTCTGCCAAAGTGGTGCAAACTGGCTGAATCTCACCACAGGAAGGAGAGATTTTCCAGAAAGGGTTCAAGGATGCTGCAGTCATCCAGTCTCCATGAGCAGCTTGGAGAAAACATCTGTTCATGTTCCTTTCCAACGGCAGAACATCAGTCCCAGAACACAGAAACCAAGACGGAAACACTCTTTGACTACTGAATTCATTGATTGAAAATCTAAATCTGCGTTCAGCATGCACAATACAGACAAATTACAGCTAAAGAAAAGGCTATCTGTGGATTTTAAAATATCGAAACACGAAACATAGGCTATGAAGATCAAAACTCTAAAAAACAATTCCTGGGGTTTGATCCCGAAACTCCTATTTCTATTGGAATAATAAAAAAAATTACTTTCTCCTGATCTTAAAGGGGACTATGGTGTTAAAGCCCCTTTTATGTACAAGGCCTGCCCCCCCCCCCAGATTAGATGATATATCGTGCTGATTTATCAATTAAAAACAGGCGTCCAACGTTCATACAAATTCTAACCACTAACGTGAGTTCATCTACTTTGAGCTTAAAGTCAAAAATATGGGATCTATTCTTCTCTGGATGTTGAGGAGCTAACACTAACATCCCTCACCACGGGACATACTGTAAAGGCTACAACTAATAGGAATTGAACTTGAACAACGTCTGGAGAACTAACCGCTTGCAGTATTTACATTCATTCTAAGAATCTGGTTTTTTGTTTTGTTTTTAAGAAATTAAAACGTTCTTACTTTTTAAGGAACTAAACTATTAAAAAAAAGTTTCATTCCAGATGGATTATAACAGACTATCAGAGTTGGAAGGGACCATGGAGGTCTTCTAGACCAACCTCCTGCACAAGCAGGAGACCCTATCCGGCCTATAAGACCCTATACTTATGAATGAAGGCGAACAGACATGTCTCAGGATAATGTTGCAGGATCCAATCTGGGTTGGTCACCAGGACGAGAGGCTTAGTCTTCCAAGCTTTTGGACTTGTGGCGGAGAACTTCCTTCTAGCAGAGTGCGTGCTTTGTGTGTAGTACCACACACAGAACAGCCCAAGGCACACACACTGTTAGAGAGTAATTCCCTGAAGATGGGCTCAAGTGTGAGTCCAAAAGCTCGGCAGATAAAACCTTTGGTCCCAGTGATCGATCCAGATTGGATCCTGCAACCCTATACTTAGGAATGTAAGATGGGTTCGTGCCCAGGTCCTCTCATAAATCAGAGGTTCAAAACTGAGCTTCCATTTTGCAAAACTATGTGGAGAAAAGTCACACACATCCACTGTGACTGGACGGTTGGATGCCTTCCTGGGCCCTGGAAGACAACTGCAGAGGTCCAGCCAGCTTTAGCTGCCTTGTCTGAAGCTATGAATCTGGGTGGAGTACTTCTGAAGCTGCTCCTTGGGTTCATCTCCTTCTTCACACTGCTGTTGATAGTGTTCGTAGAGTTTGGACTTGCCTTCAGAGCCCGTGCCTTCAACCACCGGGTGGTGTCCATTGGACATCCTGAGAATGGTGGAAGTGAGGGACCTAATGTAGTTCTTGGCCAAGGTGAGGGTCTCAATTTTGGAGAGCTTGTTCTCAGCTCTGACGTGGGGGATGACCTCTCTCAACGCTTGGAAGGCATTGTTGAGTTTGTGCATGCGTTGGCGCTCGCGCTCGTTGCTCTCCAGCCTCCGCAAGCGCCGATCTTTGCTACTCCAGGGGAGCTTGGCAGTCACCTTTGGGCTTTCTTTGTTCCTCTTTTCCTTGCGCCGTGAACATCTCAGAAGATCCTCTCTGCTCTGGGTAGATTCTTGGCTTAGAGCATCTTCACTGACGGCGTTCCGACGCTTGGTTCCTTTGCTCTTGACCTTCATGGTGCGTTGCAACCAAAGAACTAGGAACTAGACTTTCATCTCCTAGCAGAAGAAACGCCCAACATTGATCCAAAAGACATCAACTTGAGGGTTTATCTAGTTACATCTTCATCAGCTGTCCACTTCACTGGATCTTGTTCTAGACATGCCAGAACCCATGGAAATCGGGGAATCCTGTGTATAATAATAATAATTTTTTAAAAAAGACTAGATTACTTTTGAGAGATTTATTTGATGAAAAATTCTCTAGCGGTGAAAGAAATGATACCTACCTAGAACATTTCCCGTTCTCAAGCTATATTTTGATTTTTCAAGGGATTTCTTGCATGGGAGAGTTTTAGGATAGCATCTTGTCTTCTTGGGTTTAAAGGCGGGCATTCACCCAACCATCTTGTTTGTCTACATATTTCCATTTATTCTGAGGGGGCCCTTTATAGAGACTTGTGAAAACCTCTGTATCAAACCCGCTTCTCTCGCACATTAAAATCACACAGAAGGATCAGCTTCTGAGATATGTTGAACTGCGACAGATGTTCTACAGGGAATGATCTACCACAGTATTTCCCAACCTTGGGAGACTTTTTAAGATGTTTTGACTTCAACTCCCAGAATTCCACAGCCGGCAAGTTTGCCAACACTGAGAAAGACTGTAATTCTATCCAAAGCTTCTTGGCATTCAAATAAGAATGAAAACATAATGTTTACAAAAAAGAAAGGGGTGGCTTTTTTAAAAAAATTTATTTATACCCTCCCAGAGTTTCGGGTGCTCCATCATGGTGGCTTTCAAAAATAAGCTGGACAATCATTTGATTGGGATGGTGTAAGGTCTCCTGACTTGAGCAGAGGGCTGGATTAGAAGACCCCAAAGGTGCATTCCAGCCCTCTGATTCTATGTTTTATCTTTTGCACCCAACATTTCAATGTTATTTCTAAATGGACATGCACACAACACAGTATCGGGGAGAAAGAAGCATTTCCAGGACAAAAAAAGTCTGCGTACTCCCTTTTTTTTTTACAACTGTGTAGTCCCTAGTAATAATAATTATCTGCTGCAAACTCCACGTAGGCATCAGGAAGGGCATCCAGCCAATAAATGCTCAGCTCCATCCAGTCTCCCCCAGAAATCGTGGGCGCTTCCATCACTGGAGATTTTTAAGAGGAGACTGGACATTCACCTGTCTGAGACAGTGTAGGTAATCCTGCTTGAGTAGGGGGCTGGACTAGAAGACCTCCAAGGTTCCTGATTTTATTCTATTCTATTTCTATTCTATATGTCTATTCTATTCTATTTTGTTCTATTCTGTATTTCTATTCTTTTCTATTCTATATTTCTATTCTACTCTACTCTATATTTCTATTCTATTCTATTCTATTCTATTCTATTCTATTCTATTCTATTCTATTCTATTCTATTCTATTCATGGTAGCATGCTATCTACCAAAGCCCAGCATACTTTCTTGCAAGCTTTATATATATATAAACTTTATATATTTTATATATATATATATTTTGAGGCCGGACATACCTTTAAAAACTTTTGTCGCTCCTACCCCCCTGCTTTCGAAGGGCAAAATAGCTAGATACATAACCTTATCTGGGTATTTGCTAAGGCAGCCAAACTTGCAAATGATTGGACAGGATTCAAAGATGAATGCAAAGGGTCTTGCAGAGCTGAGGAGACGTTCCAGGTAACAGACACCCAGAATTAAATCGCGGATGAAAGAAGCTAAATGAAACATATTGAGTAAATCCACAGCCCACTGCTGCTCACGGAGTAATGCACAACACCCCCCCACACACACACGCACACCAGCCGAGAGTTGTTATAAGGCAAAGCAATGTACAATGTACAATACAGAACAATCTAATCGCTTGTCCTTGCAACAAAGGTTAATCAAGTGTTCACATCCAAAAAAGAAAGGGGGAGGGAGGGAGGGAGAAGAAGGGAAGGGAATTCAGAGGGAGAAGGGGAGAGGCATCAAATTAAGCCAGCCTTGGGGTTTTTTTTTCCCATTTTCAGCTCACTGTCAGGGCAAAATGTATTCCGTTCAACGAAACAGGGTTCTTAAGGGTCTGATACACGGGCCCAGCCATAGCAAGAAGCCACAATTCTTAGCTTGCACATGCATGGGTTTGCCAACCTAGGTCTGTGCCCAAGTAGGCAACTGGTGTTTGAGTAACTCTTCTGCTCATTCATACAGGGGTGACTTTCTCATTTATGACTAAAAGTCTCGATATTCCTCCTTTTTTTGAGAGAGAGGTTCATTTGAAACTCAGAAAAAAGTTTAATGAAAAGAAAGACCAGGGCAGAGGTGACACGATAGCAGCGTTCCAATATCTCAAGGGGCTGCCCCAAAGAAGGGTTCAAATCTTATTATTATTTAATTCGATTTTAAAACAAAGAAGGGTTCAAATCTTATTATTATTTAATTCGATTTTAAAACAGAAACTATTTATTTATTCGTGGTTTTTAGTATCGCCTGCTCACCGCCCTGAGTCCCGCAAGGGAGATAGGGCGGTATATAAATTTAATAAATAAAATAAAAAAATTTAATAAATAAAATCTATTCTCCAAAGCACCTGCAAGCAGGACAAGCAAGGGATGGAAACTAGTCCAGGAGAGAAGCAACCTGGAACTAAGGAGGAATTTCCTGGCAGTCAGAACAATTAACCAGTGGAACGACTTGCCTCCAGAAGTTGCGGGTGCTCCAACACCAGAGGTTTTTAACAAGAGATTGGAAAACTACTTGCCTGAAATGGTACGGGGTTTTTCCTGCCTGAGCAGGGGGTTGGACTAGAGGACCTCCAAGGTCCCTTCCAACTCTTGTCATTCTGTTAACTATGCAAAGAAAGGTTCCTAAGCCCGCCATTTAGGGGGAAGAGGATTTTTAAAGGCAGACATTTCAAGAGAGATTAGTTGTGCGCTGTGGAATAGTGTTTTTGTAGGCCACTCTGCAAGAGCTATCGATTCGATAAGCCCTTCTTTCATTCCCAAATACTTGCCCAGAAAGGATTAGATTCCTACCTGAAGCAGAGGCCAACAGCATCCTTAACCGTTCCCACCTGGCACGGATCCTAAAGGCGCAGACCCGGCCTCAGACGGAGAAGGTGACCATCACCCAGGAAGCAGGCCGACTGCCCATCCCAATCTGCTGCAGACTGCTCACCTGAGCTAGGACACGTCACTTTTAATGCACTAACAGGTAAGGAGGCGGAGTCTGGCATGGCCCAGTCTATTGCAAAGAAGCCAAGAACGGCAAGATTAGGAGCAGAATTATTTTCCCCGGTGGCTGCAGCTCAAAAACTTGGATTCTAGGGCCCAGGCTCAGAATTTGGAGCGGTGCTCCTGGGAAAAGCTGGGGTGCCGACGCCGATGGCCACGTTGGGGTTCTCAAGCCCTTCGGTCAACTGAAGCTGTGTCCTTCTCTTCCTCTGTTTGCCCATGTTTCTTTGAGCAGGGAGAGGAAGATGGCCGCCCAACGCAACCGTCTCCCATGAAGTTCCTCGGCCTTCCTTAAGCCGTTGCGTTTCCCAGATGTGTTCATCTATAACTCCCAAGACTCTCAGGTGGGGCAGCTGTGGTTGGGGGGCAAGCAACAACCCGGGACACAGCTGAAAACTAGGAGCGTGAACTTTGATCCTCAGAAGCCGAGGCTCTGATCCGTAAGATTTTGTGGGTGGGAAAAGCCCACCTAGCTCAAATAAGAACGGTGGAAGATCCAAGGGGAAAATTACAGGCTGGAAGAAAGGGAGACAGGAAGAACTGTACTTTAATGTTCTCTTTGGGTGCAGGCCAAGCTATAAACTGGTTCCCCTGGTTGCTTCTTTCTGATTCCCCCCCCTACCACACACACACACACATACACACAACCACACATATACACTCTGGCCAATATCAGATTTCATATCTGCTTAAGAATTCATTTATTCAACCTCCAAACATTATGGTTTTTCTTTAACTTTGGCAAACATTGTTGTAGAACAAAGTAACCACAGAGCTTCTTAGACCAGGGGTAGGCAACCTTGGCTCTTTTATGACTCGTGGACTTCAACTCCCAGAATTCCTGAGCCAGCATGGCTGGTTCAGGAATTCTGGGAGTTGAAGTCCACGAATCATAAAAGAGCCAAGGTTGCCTACCCCCGTCTTAGACCAACCAGCCAACGTGAAGACAATTAAGTCTACGGGGACATTTCGCCCTCTTTAAATGGCACCTTTGGTGGAGAAAATCGGTCTATGTGGTCGCTAGGAAAGCAACCTGATGACATATAATCAATCAATCAATGTTACGCACCATGGAACGCATCCAAACAGAAAAACATCAAGATGCCAGGCTTATAAATATATAGCTTTATTTTTATTTTGAATATTAAATAAGGTTCTTTAAATTACAAGCAGCCTTGGATCACACTATGCATGATCAATGTACAGTAGAAATCTTACAGTTTTAAAAATTTACACACAGTTTAAAGATAAATTCGACCTGGAATTTAATTAGCTAGCATATTGCCACGAACCTCATCGCTGTATTAAACCCACAAATTGGGAAATTTCTCCCCTATGATTTTGTTACATAAATTTCCTGATGTACAAATAGAGTAAAACATTGTATATACACAGAACTGAAACGGCTTTAACCATTACCCACCACTGTGCAAGATCATAGACAAATTGCTCAACAGAACCGGACGTCTTAAATTCATTCAAGTTTTCACTGAATAGTAAAAATAAAATAATAAAATAAAAAAATCCAGGCTGTGGAACCGAACGTTTTGTTATCTGCTCTTCATCCAATGTTTCTCCTCTAGAATATTTCCTTAGAGACATTTTTTAATTTCTTTTCTCTCTCTTTAGAAGTATTTTATACAAACTAATGTTTCCCTGCCCTCTCTTTCTATTAGTAAGGCTATTTTTTTCTCAAAGCAGTCACATTTATACTTCCAATCTAAATAGCCCCTTGGCCCCCCATAAAATTTTAGCCAATTGTTTTTCTCTACAACCCCTCCAAGTTGTCTCTCTCGCTCTCAAAAAAACAAACAAAAACAAAATCTGCATACTAATTAATCTAAAACAGTTTAAAATGTACACACGAGCAGCTTTCATTAGTGTCATTTTTTTTAAAAAAAGAAAACTTTCATTTCAAAAAACAAAAAAACAAAACAGCAGCGTTTATTTATAGAGGACGGAACTCGGAAAGGATTTAGCCATTCAAAGCCTAATTACAAATATTGGACGGTGATGGTGGCTTGCCGTAGAACTGCTACTGGTCCAGTCCTGGAAAAAAAAGGCTGACAAACTGGTTTATCTGCGGGGGGGGGGGGGCTCAGGAGCCTTCCAGAAATTGCGTGCTTGTGCATCACTCAAACAGCAGCTCTACCGTAAACAAAGCCTTCTGCTAGGTAAGGGAACTGTGTAAAGACACCCGGCTTGACGCTGTTTCTCCTTTTCAAGTTACTCCCAACAAAAGGCCTGCTTGCAACGCTCCTGCGCTCCGGATCACACAGACGTTTTAGTGCAAAGGGCCACCGCCAGCACGTGACCTCTTGGTTGTCTGGAAGAACCTCAGAAACGAGGACCAGCGGACGGTTGGGGCCGCTGGGAACATCTGGCGAGGCTCAGCTGCCTTCAAAAAGGCTGGATGTCACAATCAGAAAGCTTCTTCCATCCATCATCTTCACACTGGTACATACACACGCATGTATGTAGACCAGGGGGTCTTCAAACTTGGCCCTTTTATGACTCGTGGACTTCAACTCCCAGAATTCCTCAGCCAGGCTGAGGAATTCTGGGAGTTGAAGTCCACGAGTCATAAAAGGGCCAAGTTTGAAGAGCCCTGATGTAGACCCACACAGGGACAGATGCTAAAGTTGTTCAGCTGTTCAAATGAACAGGTCACAGACTGAAGGTGAGCTGAGCTGGGGTGACAGGAAGAGAAGTAACAACTCTGAAGTCTAGAGCAGAAGGACCACGGTTGACCTAAGGCAGGGGTAGGCAACCTTGGCTCTTTTATGACTCGTGGACTTCAACGCCCAGAATTCCTGAGCCAGCCATGCTGAGGGGAAAGGGAGAGGTTTCCAAGCTGAGCCATGGTGGCTCAGGAATTCTGGGAGCTGAAGTCCACGAGTCCTAAAAGAGCCAAGGTTGCCTACCCCTGACCTAAGGCATCCATAGGCCACTTGGAGCCATCTGCAAGCTTTGAGAGAAACAAGGCTGCAGAATGCAGAAATAACGCCAGCCAGAACTTCTTCTTCTAAGCAACACACCAAACTTGCTCCAATTCTCCAAACCAGGCCAGATCGTCAGGGAAATTATAGTGCAAAAATAGTAATCATTCAGGAACCTCAACTCCAGGAAAAGATATAACCTGGCCTTGAAGATACATAAATCAATCTTTTAGGGATCTATTAAGACACCTGGACAATCTGGGCCGGATTTGGGAAGCTGAGGATACCACCTCAGCTAAAAAAACCGAAACACAACTAATGTGGGACTTTCAATGGCTCATACTTTAATTTTAAAAGCTTGAATACCTAGAGAGATGTATATTTCAACCACACAGAAAGGATTTCTGGTGCAGCCTGGGGCAATGGAGTACCTGGAACTCTACCTTTTCCGTGAGACAAGAGGTGCCCCAGGCTTATCCAAAAAGAGGAGTTTGCAATTCGTATTAAAGTTTAGACATAGGATTAAAGTGAAGTGAAGGGAGGGGAGGGGCAAGGCAACAGGAAGATGCTCCAGAATCTGGAGAAAACCCTGTAAATGTCGAATGCATGTTGGGTCAATTGCAAGACTCCAAAATGAAGGAAGACTAACATCCATTTGGCTCAATTCTACCAACTGGTCTTCGCCATTAAGATGTCTTCTGCCTTGAAGGGAGTGTTGATCTCATGTTATTTGAAGCGTGTCCCCGGGGACAGCTGCCACAGACAACATCCACATTCCTAACACACAAGGTCAAGGACAGACTCTGTGACCCAACACAAGAGTTGACAATGCTCAGTTTTGAGTTCCCTACATATGATCATCTTTGAAGAGGTCTCCCTTCAGACTGCAAGTGTCTCCAAGAGTGGAGAAGGCCAGACCCGAGGCTGTCAGTCAAGAAGGAGATGTTGGATCTGTCAAGGACCACCTCATAAGAGCAGAGCATGTTGGCAGGTGCTGAAGCTGAACCCCAGAAGAAGAAGAAAATTTCTCAGGATGCTACTGTTTTTCGGAATTCTTAAGATGCTTACCTATTTCATGCATTGCTATCCTTCACATAAGCTTCCAAGATACTAATCCAGATGAAGGGTTAAAAACACCCACGCTTCTGTCCGACCCTACAGTATTTTTTTTTTTCATTCTCTTGAGAAGTTCTCCAAAATTCCTACTTTCAGCAGTTCCTTTCGTAGGACGACCCAACAGCTTTACAAATAGGTTGCAAGCATGTTCTTCCTCTGCCAAATTGTGGGAGCAAAAGATACAAAACAGCACAAAGGCTTGTTTTTCAAATGAGAATCAAGTTTTAAAGAGAGGGAAAGAGCGAGAGCTACCGTACTTGCCTACGTAACGTGTAACTAAAGCTGTGCTTGTCGCAGTTGGGCTTCTCCCATTTTAGGAACGTTCAGAAAGGTCTATATAAAGTTGATGGAACTCAGAAAAGATCCTTTAAGCAGGGCTAGAACAACTGGGTTGAATGAACTATTGCCTTTTAGCCCATAAGTTGCAGCTTGCATCCTTAAAGATCTTGTGACAATTATTTTGAGAACTCATAGGGGAGAAAACCTACGGGAAAACTCCTTTACATCATTCATGGAAAAGCCAAAGATCTACTGAAGATTGTTGTTGATTCACACTCATGCTTGAGAACCAGGAAGACCAAGGAGCCCAAACCTATTAAAGCCTCTTTTTTTGGGGGGGGGGGGGACGACAAGTACCTGACCTCAAAAAGAAAGGTCACTAATGGCAGAAGTGAAACAATCTCCTGTTCTGGACGGCGACCAGAACTGCTGACAGATCCTTCAAGTGGACATGGAGAATTCTAGAAGTTGTCCAGTAACCAAGGGGATCGTTTGGACGGGCATACCACAAACACACACATCCAACAAAATCCCGGACAATTTCCCTTAGAAAAAACAAGGAAAGCCCAAAACCCAGTAGGCCGTCGCCATCGCCACCACCATTTTTAACCAACTACAAATAAAAACAAGTCAATCCATCAACCCCCGTTAATTGCTAGTGAGAATTATCTTTTTATCTCCAAGTGTGTCGCCCTTTTAGAAACAGAAGCAGCACATAAAGATGGCAGAAATCCTTAAAAAAAAAATAATCAACAACCGGAAGAATCAAGTTCTGTATGCTCTGACAAGATTGTCTAGAAAGAGACACAAGAGTAAAATGAAACCAATTTAAATAAGCCAGTACTACAATTCCCATTGGTCCAGAATGCTTTGTACAATGCAAAGGGACTTGGCAAGGACACAACTAGCACACCTACAGCTAAGCAAGGAGCAAAACCCTGCAAAATATGGCTGGCTACACCACAGCTCTCAGCCCGATCGAGGAATGTAGTTATCTGCAACTCAACTATATACAATTTTACACATTCGCACAGATAATACATGGTTACACCCCCACCCTCCCAAAAAAAAAAAAGTATATTACAATCCTATATATATAAACCAGAACGTCACTGTGGTACAAATCCCCTGGAGGATATTTCAAGTACTGGGAGAGAGCTAGCATAGGGAGGTCTGTTTTTTGATTATTATTATTAAATTTTTTTTTAAAGAGGAAATGCAAAATGCACCGCTTTTCAAAAATAGTACGCCGTGAAATGCATCCACTCCAAATTCCGCTTCTGACTGCGTGATCTCTCCGTCGTTTTATCGGTTATTGGATTGTAGGACTTAATTGTAGGTCTTCAGGTGCAGCTTTTATCTTTTAAATGGCTCGTAGTCCAAAGCAGAGGTGTTTCCCCCACCATCGCCAGGACGGACCGAGAGAGACAGAAGCTTCAGCTCTTAATCTTTCTCTCCATCTTCACTGCTCCCTGTTGAGGAAACAAAGTCATTACAATTACAAACACCTGGGAGAGAGTCTGCTTGTGGAAGGACCCTCTGAACCAGTGTTTATCAACCTTGGCCACTTGAAGATGGGTGGATTCCAACTCCCAGAATTCCCCAGCCATGCATGGAATTCCCCAGGTTTCTGGGAGTTGAAGTCCACACGTCTTCAAGTGGCCAAGGTTGATAAACACTGGTTTAAACTCTGCAGATTTTTTTTTTTTTTAGGCCTAAATTCGTTGTGGTAATTGGTAGCAGACTAAATTAATTGAAGTGAAAGGGGGAGAATCTTTAAAATTCCCTACGCAAAAGGTGTGCTGAAGGCAGCCACCCCATATGGATGGTGTAATAGTTTCCCCAAGGGCTGGAATCAGGCTTCCCCCCCCCCTTTCTTTGCAAGGGGCATTCTGATGTTCAAGGCGGTGTTCTCCACCTCCTATTACAAAACCCGCAACGTGGGCACACCTGCAAGCCTCCCAAGCGCCAACTATCTCAATCGCACACTTCAATGCCACTGCTGGGGGGACATCAAAGGAAGCTGCCCTATCTCGAACGCTGGACTTACCGGCTGCAAAAATTAACGCGGCTTATCTAATCAGCACCTCAGCCAAGTGCAAACAGCATTTCTCTAGGGCAGGGGTAGGCAACCTTGGCTCTTTTATGACTCGTGGACTTCAACTCCCAGAATTCCTGGCTCAGGAATTCTGGGAGTTGAAGTCCACGGGTCATAAAAGAGCCAAGGTTGCCTACCCCTGCTCTAGGGGATCGGAGCGCGTAGCCAAACACTCAGTGCCAGGCCATTTGGCACAGTAAAAATATGTCCCAGTTCCATGATTTTTTTTTTTAAAAAAAAATGAAAATGAGGCAAACGAAGAACCTGCTTTATCGATGTGTAGGAAACTCCTAGCTCTCAAGATCATGCTGGTGGGAAACACTCACCTCCCTGTTCGATGTCCGAGTCTGTAAGGTGAGTGAGCGAGAAGCTGGCGATGTTTGCGGGTGAGATAGAGAACCTGGAGTAAGGGGAAGGGCGGAACCAGTCCTGCTCGGGGCTTCGGGGGGGCGGTGGGGGAGAGAGATACTTGGAGGTCTGAAGAGAGGCCGTCTTGGAGCTGATGAGGGTGCTGGCTGCCTTTAAAATCACGGAGGGCCCGGGAGAAGGGAAGTCATCGTCCCACTCAAAACCTCCTGGAACAAGCAGATCACAGGGACATTTCAGACATGAGAAGAAGGACCTCTGATGTCCATTAAAACCCATCTAAACCCACGGTTCTTCTCTAGCAAGGATGCTTCAAACCAACAGCACAGTTCTAGCACTGATGACGTTACCTAGTTGGGTTACGAAACGTCTGCAAGAAAACAACCAGGCTCAGAGAGCATCAAGGACCCCTCATTTCAACCCCGAGCTATAAATATTCTCCTTTATTGGTAACCTGGTTAGAAAATGCCCTGATAAATAGGGGTTTCCAACAACCATTTAGCCTTCTGCGTGCAGAGTAAACCTGCGTATCGGCATCACCATTCTAGAGGGTGCTTATTTTGATGGATTTTGGAATTGTCAGATAAGGGAATAAAACAGTTTTAAAAAAAAGGCAAAGCTTGCTTGGATGTTAATAATAATAATAATAATAATAATAATAATAATAATAATAATAATAATAATAATAATAATAATAAAAGTTGGAAGGAACCTTGGAGGTCATCTAGTCTAACCTCCTGCTCAGGCAGGAAACCCTATACCATTTCAGGCAAATGGTTGCCAATCTTTTCTTAAAAACCTCGAATGTTGGAGCATTCACAACTTCTGGAGGCAGGTTGTTCCACTGGTTAATTGTTCTAACTGTCAGGAAGTTTCTCTTTAGTTCCAGGTTGCTTCTCTCCTTGGTGAGTTTCCACCCGTTGCTTCTTGTCCTGCCTTCAGGGGCTTTGGAGAAAAGCTTGACTCCCTCTTCTTTGGGGCAGCCCCTGAGATACTGGAACGCTGCTATCATGTCCCCCCTCGTCCTTCTGTTCGTTAAACTAGACATACCCAATTCCAGCAACCATTCCCTATATGTGATAAAGCAAGATCTGCTTGCCGGGAAAAATTGAGGTTTGGAGAAATTTAACTGGAAAACAAACCTTCTGCAGACGTTAAGAGGAACGGTGTTAGCTGGCAATGCCAAATCTTAGGGTTATCTGGTTAGGGGACCTATTTTTTTATACAATTCAAAACCAAGAGAAGCAGAATGGATACCTTCTTCGTCTGTAGAGCTTTCCGAACTGGTGAATTTATTCAAGTAACCAAAGCTGGCAGCAAGGGCGGGAGTGTGATTGGAGTTTGATTCAGCAATACGCTTTCCGAGCTCTTTGGTTGGCATTTCCTAAAAAAGGATTAAAAACAACAACAACACACAGCTAGCTTCTTACGGGTAGCTCGTTGAGCAACCGAAGGGACAACGGCACCGAAAAAGGTGACTTACGACCGTTTTTCACACAAGCATTATAGCCTCCCCTGTGGTCACGTGATCCAAATTCAGACGCTTGGCAACTGACGTGGATTTAGGATGGTTGCAGTGTCCCGGGATCACGTGATCCCTTTTTGTGACACACACCTGCCCGCCCCCCCCTCCGGATAAGCAATGGGGTAGGCAGATTCACTGTTACTAATTTAACAAGTGCAGTGTTTCACCTAACAACTGCAGCAAGAAAAAGACATAAAACGGGGCAACGCTCACTTAACTGTTTTTTGTGTTGTTTTTAACATGCTGTGAGCCGCCCTGAGTCCCGTGGGGAGAAGGGCGGCATATAAGTTAGTGCAAATAAATAAAATAAATAAAAATAAATAAACTGCCTTGCTTAGCATAGGAATGTTGAGCTTCAATGGTGGCCGTTAAGGCGAGGACTACCTGTCATTTTAATCACGTCGCAAGACGCGGCTTTTCAAGTCTCTTCGGGGAAACGAAGGTTTTGTAGAAACAGGGGAATCTTAAAATACTTAAAAGTACTTTCCCCAAGATGACTCTGTTGCTGCCTTGACCTCTCCTGTCCTTCTGTCACTTTTGAGGGACATGAACTGGACTGGACTGGGGTCTCACACCAAGCCAGGCTAATGACGTAGCGCTGAGTGTGCTCCTCTCTCTACGTGGGCACAGACAGTGGGCACAGACAGTGTAGAGTCTAATCTGTCTTCTTTACACAGGACATAGGTTTCTTCTGCCTTGCCTAGGCAGAAAAGGAAACCACCTTTTTTTTTAGAAGAGTCTATTCTGAAAGAACGGGGGGGGGGGGAGAGAAAAATGATACCTGATCAAAAAGATATAAAGTGACATCATCAAAGAACGTTACTGCTTTTTTCCCATTCTTCTGAAAGGCTTCGGTAGAATTATTCCCCTCCTGTTGCTTTGGCGGCTTCAACAAGCTTCTCAGATGCTTCCCATCGTCGCCGTCGCTAATGATCTCCGGCACTTGATGCGTCATAATATCCTCGTCGCTGTCCGAGCTCAGCCCCTGGAGATGGAAGGTCTTCATATCGTCCTCCGAATCGTCACTGTTTCCATCCTCCTCGTCCGCATCCTCTTCGTCTAAGGAGCCATCCAGCATCCCAGACACGTCAAGCTTACCGAGGTATTTTCCTTCAATGTCTGGTTCTTTCAGCTTATGGCCTTCAAGCTGACCCAAGATGGACGTTTCAAAGGTTTCTGGAGCACCGTACAAGGTGGGCATGAGCTTCAGATCACCCTCGGGGGAAAAATCTGCCGTACTGGTGCCTGTGCAGGAGACACTTTTAGGGAAAGCCTCATATATTTCATCTTCAACTATGCGTTCTAGGTCAGGGAGCTGCGGCAACGAAGCTGTGTCCTCGGTTTTACGAAGCCACTCCTGTTTCCTTTCGTCAAACTCGTGCTCTTCTCCATCCACATCCCGCGGTGAGGTCAAGTCCTGGATGAACTGATAATTAGCTACTTCATTGCTGCTTAAAGCATTTTCTACATTCCCAGCTTTTTCCATTTCAAAGGAATCCAGGTGGTCCTTGGCTAATACTGTTGGCTTTTGGGATGGATTCGTGACCTCCGATTTCTTATCTACCTCGGAATCGTTATCGGAAAAATAGGCCGAATCTCTATATGAATTATGGGTGCCCTCCAGAACCGTTTGGGTTGTTTCAAAATTATCCACCTTGGTTGGGTCGGCGTAAGAATTGACCTCTGCAGACACGATGATCACGGGGTTCTCCTGCAAAAGATCTCCCCCGGCGCTAGATAAAGCCGATTCGCTAGAATTGCTGCCCAGAAGATGTGACGTCCATTCGGGAGATTCTAGATTTTCCGTTTCATAGCCGCTATCGGCGGGTTTATCGGGGGGCAGACATTTCTGAGGGCTCTCTGGCTCAAAGGATTCTAAACCTTCGTTAATGTCTAATGTCTCAAACGAGTCTGGTGTATCGACCAGTTGTCCCAGGCTTGGGGTTGACCCCGAGGAACTGTCTTCTAGTAGGCTGTCGTGACTGATACGATCTGTGGGCAGAAGACCCTCTCTGTCAGACCTTTGAACTTGAGACGTTCTACCACTTCCCTTTAGATCGTCGGCGTTATCTTCTTCTGATTTCTTAGAGTTTATTTCATGGCTCAGCTCCCAGGAACGAGGGCTGTGTTGAAGTTCCTGTTTATTTTCCTCGCTTTTTTCTTGAGCACTGAGTGTGACGCCAGGACATGAGCTGAGGCCATCGGTCTGGTTTTTGACCTGGGTTGAACCAGGTTCAGAAACTTCTTTCATTCCAATGCAAGAAGCAGCAGGATTCTGGGTAGAGTTATCTCCAACTACTCGGTTAGGAGGGCTTGTCCCAGGGCTAGAAAAGGAGAACAGGAGCTGCTTATCTATCACAGGGGAACCAGGAAGTGCCCCTATCTGCCCAAGAAAGTCCTTTTTAGTGTCGTGAACTTTCCCACTCATGTTACATTCAACTCCCAAAGAGTTCATCTTTGGTGGGTCTGGTTTATGTGCTCTACCCAGATCGCCACCACTTTCGTTCCTCGCTGTCTGCTTTAAGAGATTCCTCTCCTGAAGAAAAAGGAAGTTGTCAGATAGCTCCTCTAAAGTCAGCTGGCTAAGTTCAGACTCCTGTGAAATATCTTCCTGCAAGTAATCATTTTGAGAAGCGAGCGGCGAGCTTTCCTTCTTGGGCAGGCCACGGGTAGATTCCTCAGGATCTGAGAATGAAATTGCCTGCAGCTCCAGACGAATATCATTTATCTCAGCTAAATCAAGTTTACCAAGTCTACCGTTTGCCAATTGTTCATTTCTGTCAACGCCGCCATTTGGGGAAGGGTCAACCGGGCCAGCCCTGTGCAAATCCTCTTCCTTGGGATCTGTATTATTACAGAAAATATCCCTGTCGGTGGTAGATTCAGCAGCAAAGTGTTCTAGGACCACAACGTGACCCTTTTTGTCGTTCAGGACTTCAGAACTGTCCACTTCTGTTGTCCATTCAGCCACCTGGTGGTCAAAGTTGAGGCTACTGCGGCCTCCAATCTTTTCTTCCAACTGGATGTAATAATCACTTCCCACCGAAGGCTTGCGGGCGTTGAACACAGGAAGTTCTCCAGGCACCAGCAGGGAAACTTCCTGTCCACTTTCAATCTGAGCTCCAGGCCCTTGCTCGGTCAGTGTGTTCTCAAAAACCTCCACCGGGAAGAAGATGTTTGTGTAAGTCTTGGTTTCAACGGGGTTTGACTGACTGCATTCGAAGTGGTCGTGCTTGGCTGCCTCCCAGATGTACTCAAAGTTGAGTCCTCGGCTCGTTTCGGTTACCGTGAGAACCTCCTCCATCTCGCGGCCAAACCGGCTGCCGTTGAAATGATCCAGGATCGGGAAGGCAGAGCTCCCCAAAGGCTCTCGGTTTGAAATGTTCGGCTTGAGGTCATTCCACTGTTCAGGATCGATTACGGAATCCCTTCGGCTTTGCATGCAGAGATAGACTAAAAGCTTGTGGACTTCCTCGGCCGTGGCGCGCTTTTCCGGAGACAGCCAGCAGAACTGCAGAACTTCATACCTGTAAGGATGAGATTTCAAGTACGGTTTGTAATAAGGGTATTACGCCAGGGCAAGCGTTCTTTTGACATTTTTTTAAAGTGACTTTGCTTTTCAAAATGATCTTAGCTGGAAAGTTTTTATTGTTTAACTAGCTGTAGAAATTACAAGCCAGAGAACAACTTGAACCCCAGGGAGACAATCCACAAATGACCCTTATCTCAGCTCCTTCCTTCCTTCCTTCCTTCCTTCCTTCCTTCCTTCCTTCCTTCCTTCCTTCCTTCCTTTTATCCTTCCCTCTACTTCCCTTCCTTCCTTCTTCTCTCCTTCCATCTACTTTCTTTCCTTCCCTCCCTCCCTCCTTTTCGTTTCTTCCTTTCTTCCTTTCTTCCTTCCTTCTTCTGTTTTCTTCCTTCCTTTCCTCCCTCCCTTTCCTTCCTTCCTTCCTTCCTTCCTTCCTTCCTTCCTTCCTTCCTTCCTTCCTTCCTTCCTTCCTTCCTTCCTTCCCTTTCCTTTCCTTTCCTTTCCTTTCCTTTCTTCCCTCCCTCCCTCCCTCCCTCTCCCCCCTATCATTTGTAGGCTAACAAAATGCTTCAAGCTTTTTGAACCACACTGAAACTCTTATTTTACAACAGAGCTCGACTGAAAGTAAAAAAAAATAGGGTGTTTTTACCATCGATCAGAATAGGGCTGCTCAAGCGGCGGTTCCGACAGCTTGGTCTGTTTCTCTTTGATGACTTGCGTCAAAACTTCCTCGTCAGAGAGATCGGAGTAAGGCTTTGTGGCGCCACTGAAAAGTTCCCACAGTGTCACTCCCAGGGCCCTGCAGAAAGAGGAGGCTTCAGTAAGATGTCAGTTCACGACAGGGCTCGTGGGATCCCAGCTTTTTTGCCCCGGGTTGTTCAGACTTTCAGAAGGATTCGCTACTTAGAGTAGGCTGGAACAAATATGAGGAGCTGACTCACGTTGTGCCTCTCTGTGTCACAAAAGGCTGTAGTGGAGAGGGTCTTCAGTTGTAAAATGCAGCTGGGGGTGGGGGGGACTTAATTGGGTGGACTGGATGAAAAGTCCTTAGGAGGAGAGTCTTGTTTACAGTGGTAGATTTTATTGGTTTGGTTGATCAGTATCTAGAAATTTTTATCATCCAATAATTATGACAAATAAATTAAGAGTTACTGAGACCGTGAACATCACCTTATGGAATCATGGTTGATTTTGTGATCTATGAATCCACATTCCACCACCACCACCACCCTTGTTATAACTTGGCCATTTTCCTACCAGACGTTGCTGTATTTCGTGTGTTCGGCTGTTAGCAACCGATCCTGAAAGCTGGTCACTAGTTCTGGAGCTGTCCATCGGAGGGGCACGAGTTTGTTTTCGTCTGCTTCAATATAATCTTCCTAGTAGGAAAGGACATTCAAAAGTATGTCTTTAAGGGAAGGCCATATCGAAAGGAATTAACCGCCTTTCGTTCTGTTTAGCTGCACCCGCCCTTGGGTCTATTTTCCACGATTGAAAAGGTGTCCCGGGAATTAGAAACCCCTTCCTTGTTTTTTTTTCAGAACTGAAAGAGCAGCACAAGAATATTATAAAGAGTTAACAAAACGAGAAGGAAAATGTTGGTGGTCTCTGAACTTAGTTGTTTTCTTGCAGACGTTTCATTGCCCAACTAGGGAACGTCATCAGTGTTAGAAGGGAGTGGGGTTTGCTCTGTCTCTCCCTTCTAGCACTGATGATGTTCCCTAGTTGGGTCATGAAACGTCTGCAAGAAAACAATCAAGCTCAGGGAGCACCAAGGACCCCACAGTCTTCCTCCTCCTCTTCCTCCCTCCTCCTCCTCCTCCTCTTCTTCTTCTTCTTCCTCCTCCTCCTCCTCCTCCTCCTCCTCTTCTTCTTCTTCCTCCTCCTCCTCCCCCTCCTCCCTTCTAGCACTGATGATGTTCCCTAGTTGGGTCATGAAACGTCTTTAAGAAAACAACCAAGCTCAGAGAGCACCAAGGACTTCACAGTCCTCCTCCTCCATCATCCCCACTCCCTTCTAGCACTGATGATGTTCCCTAGTTGGGTCTTGAAACGTCTGCAAGAAAACAACCAAGCACAGAGAGCACCAAGGACTCCACAGTCCTCCTCCTCCTCCTCCTCCATCATCCCCACTCCCTTCTAGTACTGATGATGGTATCTAGTTGGGTCATGAAAGGTCTGCAAGAAAACCACCAAGCTCAGAGAGCACCAAGGACCCTACAGTTCAACCCTGAGCTACACACATTCTCTTCTCTCAGTTAAAAAAAAAAAATGTTATTGGGCATACTGTATTCTCGTAGCATTTTCTGGAATGTGGTCTTCAGAGGTAAGCAATATGGGAATTCTTTCCCCCCTGAAGGAAAATGCAACTGTCTCATTAAGCTGGGTCCAGACTGGATTAGAATGGGGTGGAGTAGGGGGATATATTTGCACACACACCCCTTTCATTGCCCTGAGTCAACACGGACCCGGAACAGACCAATGTCAGCAAAACCAATTAGGAAGAGAAGAATGGAGGTGCTTCAGTGTAGCTTGGCAATTTCTAATAATTACTTGCAAGTCAGTATCAGCCCACATATAAATGTATTGGATAGTACAGGATAACATCCAACAACTGAGCAGCAGGGTTTTAAATAAAAATTCAATTCTGTCAAAATCAGGTCTTCTAAATGGGTTGACTTACCTTGTACCTACTGAATCCTATTCCGTAATCTCCGATTTTTACGTTTAAATCAGACGTAAGGAAGCAATTCCTTAAAGCTAAATCTCTGTAAAAAAAAATAATAATAATAACAACAGAGGAATATCGCAGTGAGAAAAACCGAAATCTCAATACAAGATGAAATGAGAAAATTCAGGAGCGTAACCAATGCTACTAAAAGCCTATTTTTTGAGAACGTGAGGTTAGATTTCAGCTTTAAATCCAGCTTGGTTCTCAAGTGCCATAGCAACAGCCATTCAACGTGTTATATTTGCCTCGCTATTTTAAACCTGAATGATCATCAGCATTGTGTTGCAAATAGATTTTCTGCTTCTTGGCCAGCATCCTTTGAGTCAGAGATCTTAGGTCAACCTTAGCAAACAGTGCCATCTGGAGCAATGTTTCTCAATCTTGGTAACTCTAAGAAAAGTCTGGACTTCAACTCCCAGAATTCCCCAGCTATCCATGACACTCGACTTCGGTAAGGCTACGTGTCAAAGAACCACCACGGCGTTCAGGGTTTCAAGACTTACCCATGCACAAAATTGTGTTTGTGCATCGTGACAAGTCCCGCCACAATCTCACAGGCCATCCTCTGTAGCAGCATTATTTGAGAATCTCCTTTAATGTTATCTTGCTCGTTGCAAAGATAGGCTTTTAGGTCACCCTGTAAAACCAATTTGAGGATGGTTATAAACAGCCTCTCCTGCCAGATACTTTAACCAAACAGCAACTAAACACATAGTTTAACACTTGCCCATCAACAACATCACTAGCAGTAGTTATAAATAAACGGATACTTAAGAGAGAGCACTGTCATTAAATTTCAAGTCCCCTAAGGTGCCATACAAGAGACACACAAAAACATGCTGGTCCTTAATTAAAGCCACCCAGCAGTTAAATTTCACGGCTGGATATGAAACATTGTGGTTTAAAATTGTAGGAAGGTGAAAAAGTATGTCCATCACTCTTCTTTGGGAGAAAAAAGGATGAGGAATTAAGAGAGAAAAAAATATAAGTAAGAAAAGTAAAGTAGCAGTTGTGATGATTGGGCAAAGAAAACTTACACTTGGGCTTTGCAATGCTTGTCAGTTCCCCAATAATAGTTCAAGTCTTCTGGAATCTTTTAAAAGGGAAATACTATATCCAGAAACATGTCATTAACACCCATGATTTACTGTAGATGAAATCAGAATCTGCCCCAGAGAAATAAGTTACAACACAGACACACAACGATATGTTTCAGCCACAAAAGCACTTCAGTCAATATTTAATTGTCTGAAGACTTAAAAGGTTACAAAGTCCGGAATAACAGAAAAATATTTCCTAGGGGCCAAAAAGACATTAGCAGGACATTAAGCTGGCTGGAAAAGTGAAAGAAACACTGAACAGAACTGACTAGGGGGCAGTGCAACACTAGAGAGAAAAAAAAAGACAATTTTCCAGGCTGCTGTAAAGTCTAAATAAAGTCCATTTATTCGTTTTTAAAACCAATTACTTTTCTTAGATCCCTTGACTCTAAATGCATCATTGGGTTTGGCCAGTCTAAAGAAAAGAAGAAATAGGGGCGACATGATAGCAGTGTTCCAGTATCTGAGGGGCTGCCACAAGGCAGAGGGGGCCAGGTTGTTCACCAAAGCACCAGATGAAAACTGATCAAAGAGAGAAGCAACCTGGAATTAAGGAGAAACTTCCTAACAGTGAGGACAATCAACCAGGGGAACTCCTTGCCTCCAGAAATCGTGGGCGCTCCATCACTGGAGGTTTTTAAGAAGAGACTGGACAATCACCTGTCTGAGACGGTGTAGGTTCTCCTGCTTGAGCAGGGGGCTGGACTAGAAGACCTCCAAGATCCCTTCCAGCTTTATTCTACTCTAATTCTATTCTATTCTAATTCCGGGGGAAAGGCATAGCCCTAGGACATTACTGCTCAAAGCACAGCATGCAGCAGCCTTTCTGTTTTTGAATTTAATTACAGGTTCTCTTTCTCATCAGCAAACAGAGAGGCAGGCAGACAGGGCAAAGCTATATTTGCTTCGGATACTGACGTCCCAGAGGACGCAAGGGCTCCCCCGGGAACAGCTCCAGAGTAATCCTGGTTAATTAGCTACGGAGAGCTTAAGGTGACATCTTTCTAATCTTTGACAAGTTCATTCATGACAGCTTTAGTGTCAAGGTTTCAACAAGACATCTCAGAAAGGCATTATGGGTAGTCCTTCCTTTAGCGACTATGTGAAGTTATGACGGTGCTTTCAGATCTTTGGGCTGGGCACTAACTGCTCCAGCCAATACCGGCACCGCCTTACGGGGAACTGAAACAGCACATCCACTTTACAATGCAAATCTCTGCTCACCATTCGTCATTCTATCAACAAGGAATTTGGTGTGCCGATGGGCCACATATCATCGGCTAATTTATTACAGCTATTAAACTGGTTACTACCCTATTTTTAACCTGGGGTAACCTCCTCCATGACGACAGGGGGGAAAAAACCACACCATTAGTTAATTATAGATTAAATGGGACCGTGTAAGCTTACTACACAATCATCCTGGACAAAAGGAGAGTAGAGAGCAATTGCTGGTTTAGAAAAAGACCAGAAAATCTTAAAATAGGCTCCTGCCTATTTCTTGGACAGCAATGGGGACTAACAAGTAAGTACTGGAGAAATAAGACCAGATGTGTCACTAGAAGGCAAAATCACGAAACTGCATCTCACTTCCTTTGGCCACGTCAGGTGTGGGGGAATTCACTGGAGAAAACCATTATGTTTGGGAAAGTTAGCGGTAAAAGGAAACCAGACCGTCAAAGAACACAGTGGGTGGCTGAAGACCATCAGAGCTGACACCAGCCAGAGTGTCAAACAACTCAAAGAAGCAGTGCAAGATTGGAAGATGTGGAAAAACCAGGCCCATAGAATCGCCAAGAGTCGGACACAACTGAATGGAGAAGAAGAAGAGGAAGAGGAAGAGGAAGAGGAAGAGGAAGAGGAAGAGGAAGAGGAAGAGGAAGAGGAAGAAGAAGAAGAAGAAGAAGAAGAAGAAGAAGAAGAAGAAGAAGAAGAAGAAGAAGAAGAAGAAGAAGAAGAAGAAGAAGAAGAAGAAGAAGAAGAAGAAGAAGAAGACGACGACCTTGAAGGTCATCTAGTCCAACCCCCTGCTCAGGCAGGAAACCCTATACCATTCCAGACAAATGGCTGTCCAGTCTCTTCTTAAAAACCTCCAGTGTTGGAGCATTCACAACCTCTGGAGGCAGGTTGTTCCACTGGTTAATTGTTCAGACTGTCGGGAAATTTCTCCTTAGTTCTAAGTTGCTTCTCTCTCTGATATCTAGATAAATTAATTAGATCTAAGATAAATGAGAACATGCCCACCGATACTGACAAAGCAGGCCAGGTTTACCACTTTAAAATTCTGCTCCAACCCCTTCTAAATGCCAACGCCAGCGGCCACATGGGAATGTGATTGTCTAGCAAAGTAACCAGGACTCATCTGCTTAAGTCAGAAGACGCTTTTACCACCTCATTTCGCCAATGTTCCTGCGTGCAGTTGTAGCTATAAATGTATGTGTTCGCTGAGGGCTGAGGGGCACAAATGCAAATTAACACTAGCACCACCTCCCACTCTTTTTCTCACTTACAAAAGCTACCCTCGTCTCGTATATTTGCAACCAGGGAAGTGTTTTTTCGCAGCTGCTGTATATTATGTTCTTCTGCTTCCAAGACAAGCTTGAATTGGACTAAAACAGACAGCAATGTCTTCCAATGGCCATTAATTAAAAGAGCAGCAGGTATGCTTATGGACTCCAGCCCCCTTTATATGCAAAGTTCATTGCATTACACTGCATCCAAGTCCTTGTATGAATTATGGGCACGGAATCAAAGTCCGGAACCATTGGCGTTTCTGAAGCTGTTTTGTGTGAACAGGAAAAAAGTGCTTTCGGTTAGGTTTAACATGCCAACGCTGCTTGCAAACGAGCTGAAATGATCAGAACTGTGAAAACACACAGATGCACATACAATATATCCAGACAGTATGCATTTTTCACAAGAAAAAAGAAAAAAAAAAGATAATGCCAGTTTATTTTACACAACCGCTGTCGCCTTCCTCAGAGGCCAGGAAATTAAACGAAAAAGAATTAGCACTGGATATCTCTAGAGATGCAAGAAATCATTACAGAATTAGCATAAAGAGGCCAGACTGACCTAGATCTATGTATTTCACAGGTATGTGTGTGTAAGTTAAAAAAAATGAATCTGGAAGGGCAGGGGTAGCTTTGCTAGGAAATGCAATTGTCCTATGTCACTGAATAGTGATTGTAACACATTTTGGCTGCAGGCAAATGCATCAAAGCATTTAAAATGTGTTAGAGGAGCAACCTGCCTTGCAAAATAACCTTAGCAGATCTCCAACTGACCTTTATTCTATTTTGTCAGACCAGTTCATTGTTTCTACTGTCCACTTGGCTTGTTTATTCTAGCTACCTGGAATCCAGGCAAGCCACAAGGGTTCAGATGAAGCCGTGGACAAATACAACAGGTCATCTGGCATTCCTTTCACCTAAGACTACCACCGAATGGTGCTTCCTTCCTCAGCTCGCTGCTCCAGGGGAAGAAAGGAAAAAAACAAAACAAAACAAAAAAAACCCCTTCCTCAACTTTGCAGAATTTCTAAGGGAACCATCAGCAAGATGGACATCGAACTCAAAATGGATCGCGACTGATATTTCATTGACTCACCAGGTCACAAAATTCAAATACCAACAGATAAGGAATGGCTTCCACGTATTGGCTGGTACAGCGGAGAACATTGGGATGCTGAAGGATACTGTAAAGAAAAATCCAGAAAGTAAATATTTGTATTTGTGGCTTGTGACATTCAAAACCTGGGTGGGAAAGGAGAATTATTCTCCGTCCGCTGATGTATCGGAAAAGATTTTTAAATTTAAAACACCATGAAACATTTTGCAGCGGCTCGCACTGTTAGCAAACATCTACACGTCTTTGCAATGTTCCTCCTATTCCCATTTGTCAGCTAACCAAAGCTCTAGGCTCACCTTCCTACAATTAAACCTGGCTTGAGATTTTTGGGAATGGGTGAAGTGCCCGGTTGGGCAGGCCAAGTTCGTTACTGCTCTTCTGCTTGCTCCAAATGTACCCTTAGCAAAGGCCGAGGAGGCTACTTACAAATATGGCTCCCCATATCTCAAAAACCGCTCCTGTTCCTTGAGATTCGCAGTGGCTTTCAACTCCTTCACAATGACTCTGGTTACGCTAGTGCCGGTGTAAACCTCCCCCAGCAGAACCTGGAACAAAAGAATTAAATCTCAGTTCCACTTCAGAGAGAAGAACAATCCTGGCATGCAATGGCCGGCTAGGGAATTCTGGGAGTTGAAGTCCACGAGTCTTAGTTGGCAAGCTTGGATACACCTGAGGTAAATCTACTGTATTTTAATGAGTTAGGGGTCATGCTGGCTGGGGAATTCTGGGAGTTGAAGTCCACAGGTCTTAAAAGTTGCCAAGGTTGGACACCCCTACCCTAAAGCTTCTGACCACAAAGATGGCCAGCTTATACTTCACAACTGATTCAAGAGATTTGTTCTTGTGGGTTCACTTTTACCATTAAAAATATTTTTTAAGGGAAAGGTAAGCGAAGAGAATAATAATCAGGATGCAGATGTCTTACCTTCCCAAACCAGCCATTTCCTATTTCTTGGATGTAATTGAGATTCTGACGAGCCACCTGAGATTTCAGATCTTCTGTGGTGTAAAGAAAGCAAATACGTTCAAAGAAGCAGTCACAAAATTTGCCTAGATAAAACCATTTTTCAAAGAAATCCAATATAACTCTTATGTTACAATACAGCCGGACAAAATCATAATTGTCCTATCAGTCTGAAGCCACAGCACTCTCCGTGTCTCGTTTCCAACATCTGCTCTGAGATATGGGGTGAGATCAGAAACTATTCTGTTGAGGTAACAGCATCTGCCAGAGGAACGAGACCACTGGACACAACCCAACATTTGTATTCCTTCCCTACAGTATAAGCAGCACTACTAATAATGTTATGAATCAATCTATTCCGATTCCACTGAGTATTGTAGGAAGAGAGAAAATNAGAAGAAGAAGAAGAAGAAGAAGAAGAAGAAGAAGAAGAAGAAGAAGAAGAAGAAGAAGAAGAAGAAGAAGAAGAAGAAGAAGAAGAAGAAGAAGAAGAAGAAGAAGAAGAAGAAGAAGAAGAAGAAGAAGAAGAAGAAGAAGAAGAAGAAGAAGAAGAAGAAGAAGAAGAAGAAGAAGAAGAAGAAGAAGAAGACCTTGAAGGTCATCTAGTCCAACCCCCTGCTCAGGCAGGAAACCCTATACCATTCCAGACAAATGGCTGTCCAGTCTTTCTTAAAAACCTCCAGTGTTGGAGCATTCACAACATCTGGAGGCAGGTTGTTCCACTGGTTAATTGTTCTGACTGTCGGGAAATTTCTCCTTAGTTCTGAGTTGCTTCTCTCTCTGATATCTAGATAAACTAATTAGATCTAAGATAAATGAGAACATGCCCACCGATACTGACAAAGCAGGCCAGATTTACCACTTTAAAATTCTGCTCCAACCCCTTCTAAATGCCAACGCCAGCGGCCACATGGGAATGTGATTGTCTAGCAAAGTAACCAGGACTCATCTGCTTAAGTCAGAAGACGCTTTTACCACCTCATTTCGCCAATGTTCCTGCGTGCAGTTGTAGCTATAAATGTATGTGTTCGCTGAGGGCTGAGGGGCACAAATGCAAATTAACACTAGCACCACCTCCCACTCTTTTTCTCACTTACAAAAGCTACCCTCGTCTCGTATATTTGCAACCAGGGAAGTGTTTTTTCGCAGCTGCTGTATATTATGTTTTTCTGCTTCCAAGACAAGCTTGAATTGGACTAAAACAGACAGCAATGTCTTCCAATGGTCATTAATTAAAAGAGCAGCAGGTATGCTTATGGACTCCAGCCCCCTTTATATGCAAAGTTCATTGCATTACACTGCATCCAAGTCCTTGTATGAATTATGGGCACGGAATCAAAGTCTCGGAACCATTGGCGTTTCTGAAGCTGTTTTGTGTGAACAGGAAAAAAGTGCTTTCGGTTAGGTTTAACATGCCAACGCTGCTTGCAAACGAGCTGAAATGATCAGAACTGTGAAAACACACAGATGCACATACAATATATCCAAACTATGCATTTTTCACAAGAAAAAAGAAAAAAAAAGATAATGCCAGTTTATTTTACACAACCGCTGTCACCTTCCTCAGAGGCCAGGAAATTAAACGAAAAAGAATTAGCACTGAATATCTCTAGAGATGCAAGAAATCATTACAGAATTAGCATAAAGAGGCCAGACTGACCTAGATCTATGTATTTCACAGGTATGTGTGTGTAAGTAAAAAAAAATGAATCTAGAAGGGCAGGGGTAGCTTTGCTAGGAAATGCAATTGTCCTATGTCACTGAATAGTGATTGTAACACATTTTGGCTGCAGGCAAACGCATCAAAGCATTTAAAATGTGTTAGAGGAGCAACCTGCCTTGCAAAATAACCTTAGCAGATCTCCAACTGACCTTTATTCTATTTTGTCAGACCAGTTCATTGTTTCTACTGTCCACTTGGCTTGTTTATTCTAGCTACCTGGAATCCAGGCAAGCCACAAGGGTTCAGATGAAGCCGTGGACAAATACAACAGGTCATCTGGCATTCCTTTCACCTAAGACTACCACCGAATGGTGCTTCCTTCCTCAGCTTGCTGCTCCAGGGGAAGAAAGGAAAAAAACAAAACAAAACAAAAAAAACCCCTTCCTCAACTTTGCAGAATTTCTAAGGGAACCATCAGCAAGATGGACATCGAACTCAAAATGGATCGCGACTGATATTTCATTGACTCACCAGGTCACAAAATTCAAATACCAACAGATAAGGAATGGCTTCCACGTATTGGCTGGTACAGCGGAGAACATTGGGATGCTGAAGGATACTGTAAAGAAAAATCCAGAAAGTAAATATAAAGACCAGGAACGATTATTTGTATTTGTGGCTTGTGACATTCAAAAAAGGAGAATTATTCTCCGTCCGCTGATGTATTGGAAAAGATTTTAAAACTTAAACACCATGAAACATTTTGCAGCGGCTCATGCAATGTTCCTCCTATTCCCATTTGTCAACTAACCAGAGCTCTAGGCTCACCTTCCTACAATTAAACCTGGCTTGAGATTTTTGGGAATGGGTGAAGTGCCCAGTTGGGCAGGCCAAGTTCGTTACTGCTCTTCTGCTTGCTCCAAATGTACCCTTAGCAAAGGCCGAGGAGGCTACTTACAAATATGGCTCCCCATATCTCAAAAACCGCTCCTGTTCCTTGAGATTTGCAGTGGCTTTCAACTCCTTCACAATGACTCTGGTTACGCTAGTGCCGGTGTAAACCTCCCCCAGCAGAACCTGGAACAAAAGAATTAAATCTCAGTTCCACTTCAGAGAGAAGAACAATCCTGGCATGCAATGGCCGGCTAGGGAATTCTGGGAGTTGAAGTCCACGAGTCTTAGTTGGCAAGCTTGGATACACCTGAGGTAAATCTACTGTATTTTAATGAGCTAGGGGTCATGCTGGCTGGGGAATTCTGGGAGTTGAATTCCACGAGACTTAAATCGCTAAGCTTGGATACACCTGAGGTAAATCTACTGTATTTTAATGAGTTAGGGGTCATGCAGGCTGGGGATTTCTGGGAGTTGAAATCCACGAGTCTTAAAGTTGCCAAGCTTGGATACACCTGAGGTAAATCTACTGTATTTTAATGAGTTAGGGATCATGCTGGCTGGGGAATTCTGGGAGTTGAAGTCCACGAGACTTAAATCACTAAGCTTGGATACACCTGAGGTAAATCTACTGTATTTTAATGAGTTAGGGGTCATGCTGGCTGGGGAATTCTGGGAGTTGAGGTCTTAAAAGTTGCCAAGCTTGGACACCCCTACCCTAAAGCTTCTTACCACAAAGATGGCCAGCTTATACTTCACAACTGATTCAAGAGATTTGTTGTTGTGGATTCACTTTTACCATTAAAAATATTTTTAAGGGAAAGGTAAGCGAAGAGAAGAATAATCAGGATTCAGATGTCTTACCTTCCCAAACCAGCCATTTCCTATTTCTTGGATGTAATTGAGATTCTGACGAGCCACCTGAGATTTCAGATCTTCTGTGGTGTAAAGAAAGCAAATACGTTCAAAGAAGCAGTTGCAAAATTTGCCTAGATAAAACCATTTTTCAAAGAAATCCAATATAACTCTTATGTTACAATACAGCCAGACAAAATCATAATTGTCCTGTCAGTTTGAAGCCACGGCACTCTCCGTGGCTCGTTTCCAACATCTGCTCTGAGATATGGGGTGAGATCAGAAACTATTCTGTTGAGGTAACAGCATCTGCCAGAGGAACGAGACCACTGGACACAACCCAACATTTGTATTCCTTCCCTACAGTATAAGCAGCACTACTAATAATGTTATGAATCAATCTATTCCGATTCCACTGAGTATTGTAGGAAGAGAGAAAATTCCGAGGCTGGGTTCATGCCACCCATTAAACTCTAAGTAAATGGGTTAACAGAACATAAAAGCTGTAGTTATATAATGGATTACACTCAAACAATATTCTATATCAGGAGTCTGCAACCTTGACAACTTTAAGACTTGTGGACTTCAGCTCCCAGAATTCCTCAGCCAGCTATGCTGAAGTTCACAAGTCTTAAAGTTGTCAAGGTTGCAGACCCCTGTTCTAAATAATGGCCCTAGCACAATGGCCGGTTTCATATTGTATACGGAGACAATAGCGGGGGTTCCACACCCCTATTTTAGCTATCTTTCCATGTTCTGCAAATACAGTGGTCCCAGGCTTCTTTTCTCTTGTGTTTGGAAGATTATCCCACCATTCCACATGCCATCTGTGTAGTTGTGAACACAGCATCCAGCTTCCAGGGGAGAAGAAGTGATTTCAGTGGCTTTGTGTTCTTTTTCTCATCACTGTGGCTTTCAAGATAGAAAACCCCAAACAAAATAAGAGACAAATTTCCTATCCGCCAGAAACTGGCACAAGCTAATCCCATTCATGTTTAGAAAAAAAGCTGTTAATTACACTGTAAATCAGCAGGATCCAGCTAATTATAATAATAATAATAATAAAGTTGGAAGGGACCTTGGAGGTCATCGAGTCCAACCCCCTGCTCAGGCGGGAAACCCTACACCATTTCAGACAAATGGCTGTCCAGTCTCCTCTTAAAAACTTCCAGTGTTGGAGCTACTTCTGTCTTTACCACCCAACAGGGTATACTGGAGTGTAAGCCACACCGAACACAGCCAGAGTTCAGAGTTTAATGATCATCCGTTCTACTTAAATGGGATTTTTTTCCCAAAAGGACATCCACAGTATTTAACTAACAGCTTGACCAAGTCCTCCTTCATGTTGCATCCATTGTCAAGGATTATAACAAGTCCCTGTGCTGGGGCACAACAGCCTGGCTGGGATCCAAAACCTCAAAATGAAGCCGGTCTACTTCTCTCAATCATACACAAGATTGTATCTGTGCCTGGGACAGCAAGAAGAAACGTCACAGAACCAACTGGTGCCATAATGGAATACTGGAGGAGACAGGAGAGGAAGGGCAAGCATCTGATAGGGATCATCATACCTGTTGGAAGTTGGAATTGGGATGGAGCTGGGAGAGAAGCACTGGGCACCGTGAGTGTAAACACCTCCGCTGGAGACTGAATTGTTGGGGTGTCTTCTGCGGGCGGGGTGAAGTCTAGTTCATCATCAAAATTGTCTTCAAATTCCTACAAAGGCAGAGAGATTGGCAGACTAACATACACATGCCCGACACAAAGAACTGATTTGCATAGGACAGGCCAAACCCAGTTTATAAGTCTAGATGGATCATAGACATCAAGCGCTCCTAGGCCCATTAGTCATGCTATAATGCCATGTTTTATTGGTGGATGCACATAAAAACAAAAAGATTAGTCAACTTGGGGTTTGTTTAGGGCAGTGTTTCTCAACCTCAGCAATCTTAAGACATGTAGGCTTCAACTCCCAGAATTTCCCAGCCAGCCCTGAAGTTCACACATTTTAAAATTGCTAAGGCTGAGAACTTTGATGTAGGGTGTTTCATTCAACACATGATGTGTTTCTTGAATAGACTGTGGCCTACCAGATGCTGGTTAACCTCCCTCACTAGTTATGACTACTGGAAACAGATATTCAGCCAACCAGAGATACAGAATAACAGAGTTGGATCTTATCCTTTGTGAGGTTAGTACCTATACTTGCACGGACTTGCAGATCTTACCGTTCCAACATCTATTTATTATTTATTTATTGCGAAATTTATTTGCTGCCCATCTCGTGTCAAAGCATAACAGGAACAAGATCAAAACAAATATCTCCCCCGATAGTTCACAGGTAAGATGAACATTTTTCTCTTTGGCCAAAAGGATGGTTTTAATTGCTATATCACCTTCAAAGGTTTTTACACATTTTAAGACACAAGAATAGTAATGCGTCGCTAAAACGCAGCATCGAGATGCAAAGTTACATTTCGCCGTAGCACAAAAATAACTTCACGCCAACCGTAAGTAACACTAAAAATATATTCATGGCTTAAGCTGCACATGGGTCTGGCTTGCCAAAAAGGTTTTGCTTTGCTTTTTTACACTGAAGTTAGTTTGGAGAAATCAGGCTTGATTGGCAAAACACATCATGCACCATATAACAACATAGTTCTTTGAAAAACCGTATTTTTGTCAGCCGTGGATGCTGCACAAGCCAATCTTAATTTAGCTGCAAAACCTTTTAGCCTGGAATGTAAAGAGAATAAGAAGGGTCAAATTCTGCCACCAGGGAAACTTCGGAAGATGAAAATGGTCTTTTAACCTTTGATCCACTGTACTGAAGGCAATTTATGATTTATGATTCTGCCTTGTTATTCTTCTACATCGCCCAAAACAAAAGACGGGCAAAGTTGTGTGGTTCCAGCCATTCTTTCTTATTTATTGATTGAGGGAAATGGACCTAGGCCATTTTTAGCGCCTCTTAATGATGGTAAGTCACGTAGATAGCAGCTGAACAATACAAACATGACGGTTCCCCTATTCCAATCAGCAGCAAAAATGTTGTGGTCGTTAAGTCGAGGATTACTCGCACAGTGAAGAAAATTATTTCTTGATACGACTCACCTTGAAGTTAATCTCTTGATCTTTACAACAGGAAACACAGTTTACAAGCAGGAGTATCAAAACTAAGAGGCCACCGGCAGAAAGAACCACCAAAGAATAGGAAACTTCAAAAGCTGCCTCTTCTCCTAGAAAAATAAAACGGGGCTTACTTTAATGCAGCTTTGGTACATTATACAGCAGAGCAAACACCCCAAAACTTTAGGGGAAAAGAATTTAATTTAATTTACTCTGATAATAAATCCCTACTTGTTGGCATATTTAAGGAACCTTTCGGAAAAGAAGACAGCATAGATAATAAGCTATCAGGTTTTAAGGATCAGTGAACCTCAATTGACGGCTTTTGATTTCTGACAATTTTCCTTCCCACGCAGGCTTCTAATTTAACATGTTAATTAGCACTCGGATGTCTTCATCGTTTCTTCTTGCAGTACATCAGCTAGGAGACAAGCCTTAGCGTGGATATCTTTCTCCTGTTTGTTTGTTGTCCTAGGCGTAAGACGGGTTATGTGCTTTAAATCCACCAGAGAATATTTTGCACTAGAAACAAGTTATTGCACGTGAACGGCTTTCAAATTATCTAAATTAGACAACAGGATCTCCATATTCAGCAGCAGGATGTCTCCACAACTGTTTGGATGTTGGGAACAAACAGATTCTATGTGAACTTTCTACAGCAGCATCTGATTGGACACACCTTAAACCAAAGGTTAGATTAAGATGGGATTTTGTCCAGGATTATTACACCTTGCTGGCCCAGACCCAATTTTCGCTCAACTAACCAGTGTTATAAAGTCTTCCAAATAAGATACATGCACAGACTAAAAAGATTCTTAATTATTATCCCTTGGAGGGGTCCACTGATGGCGTGCATTAGCAATTATTTTTAAATTGCCACCTAAAGCTTATTTGCCAAGCTGTTAACTATTATAATTTGTTCATTAGAGTAAAAGCTCTTTTTTAAAATATAACATGAGCAACATCAGATGAATGTAGGTATAAAAACGTATCCAAATTTTGCTACAGAATTTTTATCCCACTCAAATAAACCAAGACTTTGAGTAATACCTCTAATCAATGAAGAAAAATCTCTTATCAAGAAAAATCTCTAAAAGAAATTATACAGAGGATAAAGAAGTCTGAGCAGGGAGAAATGAATCTAAAGCAAGCTGTAACACCAATCCTGAGGTTGAATGCCATTGTTCATCTAGATACGACAGATAATAAACAAACAAATATTTCGGTAATAATCTCACCTCCTTTCCACCTAGGGAGAATCAAAGCTATATTTTAGTGAAAAAGAATGCTTTGAAAATTCAACAAAACTGTACTATACAGTTCAGCCTTGGGATACATACAGCCTCTCCTAAAAAAAAAATAGCTACTGAGGAAAAAGGATAATTTACTGAACGCCCATGTTGTTGTTCGAAAATTATGTATTTTTTTTTTAGTTCAACATTTTATGAAACTTAAAAAAAAAGATCTACACTTTACGCTAGCCATAAAGACTCACAATATACAGAGATATACCATGCTGGGTAAGAAATCTCACCAAGAATAAAAATTACAGTACTGTACTGATTTGACAGGCGGGACGTGGGAGTCTGAAAAGCAGAATTATACCACTGAATAATCACAGTGGAGAGAGATCCTTAGATGCTCCCCTTAAAACTAGAAGAGAACAAGGGCATAAAACTCATGGGTTTAGTTGGAGATCAAAAAGATCAAAGTCTTTAAACTCTACTTAATCTCCATATTTGCCTTTCGGACCTCCACGAAACATGCTTATACAGGCATGCCTAATATTGCACTAGAAGTCATCCTGAAACATGAGCAACTCATGAATGTAAATTGATTTTTAAGTGAGCGTGCCTGGACCTGAGAAGGACCTGCTTGATCGTCTTGATGCTTACATTCATCTGATGCTGGTGGAAGTTCCCTCAACTCCTGCTGCAATTTCACCCAGACTGCTTGGATAGAAAGCTATGAGGATGCTTGCCCTTGCTTGTGACAGAGTTGGCTTACGGAGTTTGAGTCAAAAAAGGAGGCATCAAAAGTGATGTTCCTCTTCGTCATGGTGGCTCTGACCTTCATGGAGCTAAACCTGAAGGTGCCAGGGTCCTTGAAAGATGGGTGACAGTTATCAATCTGCACCATGAATTCCTAAGAGCCAAGGCCTCGCTAAGGGTTTTCTCTTTCGATATAAGTGAGGCGAACTTTCCATCAAAGATACAGGCCATCCTCATTTAGCAACCACAAATGGGACTGGCGACTTGGTTTTTAAGAGAACTGGCCACCAAGTGAAACAGTGACTTTACAATATCGCTTCAGCTTCTCTTTGCTTTACAACAGGGGTCTTCAGACTTGGCCCTTTTGTGACTTGTGGACTTCAGCTCCCAGAATTTCTCAGCCAGCGTGCCTGGCTGAGGAATTCTGGGAGTTGAAGTCCACAAGTCACAAAAGGGCCAAGTTTGAAGACCCCTGGCATAGATTAACTCCAAGGTTAACATCCTCCTCCTCCTCCTCCTTTTTTAAATGCTAGCCAGTTAAGTTTTAATATGATGCTAATGCTACTCTTCTGCAGAGACAAACTAATAATTTGAAAAGTGGCACCCTGAAAGAGGGATGGCACTCTGTACACAAGCACAACATATGTTCATAATGCAACTGTACAATCAGAAGTTAAACAAATAGTTATCTCAGGCCTATTTGTAAGAGTACAAGCCGAGCCGGAAATTAGAGCTAGAAGAACAGGGAAGAGTGTGCCACTGTTATATCACACCCAATGTGAACTTGCTAAGTCACCTTGCCTCTCCCTTAACAAACAAAATAATCACAGCGATTAATTCCGCTTTCCACTCAGAAAGCAGTACATGTAAAAAGATGTGTTAATCCTAGCAGTCTGTTCAGAGCTGTCTTCAGCACCATCACATTATCCCGGCCAATCAGAGCCTCCAACATTGAAGGTCATCATCCAGTCAAGTCTAGTAGGGTTATTCAGGCCATGGCAATTTGCTCATCCCCATCAGATTTTTTTTTCTATTTAGAAACACACACACACACACACACACACACACGTGTGCCCTCAAATAACATCTTTTATAATTTGGCATGTTCCATATGTGTTGATGCTTCAAGTTCCGTATTTTCCCACCCTTGAATCTTTCACAAAAATCCAGCCCGGAGATTGAACTTCAAACGCAATTCAACCCAAGCTTCCATGCTGCTTTTCGACCTGCCTCGGAATAATCAAGAGTCCGCCACGCTGCTGGATGATTCAAAAAAGATTTTGCCCATCGCAAAAGCTGCTTTATCAAATCAGTCTGGGAAGTCAAATCAATTCACTTTCCCAAATTAACGTGAATTGTTGCATCGGTGATCCCAACAGAATCGGAGCCAAATCGCATAAAGGTAGGCGAGCCGAATCACTATTTAACATGGTTTGCACACTTATGAACCACAGACAGCTACCTCTTAAAATAATAATAATAGGCAACTACTGCATGATCCCAAAGGAGCCCCAGACAGAATTCCTGGTCTGTTTAACTCCTGTCATAATCTCAGGGGCAAATCTATTCGCTGTCCATGCTCCAGATAAACTAGAATTCTACATCTCTCAGGAATAGAGCAAACTCAAAATAGCGAATCTGTGTAGGCTTCTTGACTAACATCTTGGCTAATGTAAGCTAATCTATTATCTGTAGGGCAGTTAAGTGTGTCTAATCTTTCACCACAAGGCAACCACAAAAGGCAGCTATGCAAACCTCAGAAAAGCTGAGTTTTCACGTCTCTTTTCCAGATTCCTATGAAACAGGCAGGAGATCTCGTCAATTATTTTTCAATGCCCTGTGACTGAACCTTTTACCAGCCCTTCAACAACAGCTGTCAAGGACAAAAGGGGAGAAGATGGGAAAAATAAGCAGGTCCCAAGTAACAGCTTAGAAAGTGGGGGAAAGGGGGTGGTGGAGTAACTATTTGCTCCTGTTGGGTACAGGATAGAGCTATAGCATAATATGGATACCTGTGGTGTGATTTGTAAATTCCTACGGAGCAAAAAGTAGGCGCCAATCTATCAAAAGATTTGTGGCTGGTTGTATTAACATATATGTTCCTTTCCTGACGTAATTCAAAAGTTAAGACTTGGTGTTTTCAATTAACTCTGTGAGATTTACTATTTGGTCTGAGCATTTAATGACCAAAACAAAGTAGGGCCTTTTCATTCCTTCTTAAAACAACAAATAATATAATTCCTCATTTTACTGGAAGTTGCACATTTCAAATTTTGTCCCTGGCGTGGGGAAAAATAGAACTGTGAAATGTTTTAAAGAAGAGAGAGAACTCTAAATCACGAAGATCACACTGTAACCTAAAGCAAAAGACATCTGCTGAGTTCAAGAATGCAGAGCAGGGAGAACCCAGGCAGGTATGTAACAAAACTGGAGTAGCAAGAAACAAAATCTTGTGTACAGAAAACAGGAAGACCAAACCCCCAAAGAAAGCACAATAAAAGAAAGGGGGAAAAAATTCAAAACAACAGTTGGAGCAGCTCAGAAAGAAAAGGTGGATTGTTGTAATTCCATACAGACCCGGAACTGAACAGAAAGCACCCCAAATTTTAGGACTTTCAGCTGGAGGGGCAAAGTTACTACTAACACAGCATGTGTATTTTGTGCTCACGATGTTAAATCTACACACAGGACATACCTACAGTTGGGCAAGTTTGTTTTGCAGATGGGGGTGCTTTAACTGTCACTCAATGAAGTTGGTCAAAACATCTGGACTCCACCAGAACACAGAGCAACACAAATGCAGTAGCATCACCTGGGGTGTTGGACCATTTACATCAGTGTCTCTGGCTGGCTGGCTGGGGAATTCTGGGAGTTGAAATCCACACGTCTTAAAGTTGCCGAATTTGAGAAATTTAGACAATCAGGCAGGTATACTTGGAAAGCAAAACAAAGATCTATCTTTACATTTTAAAGCAATAGTTCATTCCTTAACAAGTGTAAAACTTGTGTCTCATGACGTGAGGTCAAAGGTGCTTTTGCTTTCACACCTGAATGTAGACTTCGGCCACAACGTGCAAGTGAACATTCACTGGCTATTTCTAAAAAAAGCAAATTATCTTCATTCAACTGTGGGATTGCAATGACGGATCCTGGTAGATCAGTTACTAAGAAGAACACAGTTGCTTAGCTTTTGTTAATAGCACAGCCGAGGGATGTAGCATCAAAACTGGCCGAAAAAAGGTCTACCTGTTAAATTCTTCCTTCAATATTTTGCTAGTTTATGCATTTCATCGTCCAGCTCTGGACGGGACTGCAGCATTTGTCCCAGTTTAAATCATGGAAATGTAAGGCAGTAAATCGTTAGATATTAATGACAATTACTCCTGAAACCTATTTTTTCTATTTGACCCTAAGCATTTTATTTGAAAGTTAACGGCTTATAGTATTCAACAATGGAGCTGGCATCTGGTAAGTGTACACAGATCCAAAGTCTTAGTACTGTACAGGTAGTCCTCAACTTACGACTATAATTGAGCCCCAAATTTTTCTTGTTAAGGGAGACAGTTGTTAAATGAGTTTTGCCCCATTTTACGATGTTTCTTGCCACAGTGGTTAAATTAATCACAGCACTTCTTTAATAACACAGTGGTTAAGTCAATCTGGCCTCCCCATTTGCTTGTCAGAAAGTCGCAAAAGGAGATCACGTGACCCTGGGACACCGCAATCGTCATGAGTCAGTTGCCAAGCGTCTGAATTTTGATCGCATGACCCTGGGGATGCTGCACCAGTCCCGTGAAAAACGGTCATAAGTCACTTCTTCCAGTGCTGTTATAACTTTGAACGGTCACTAAATGAACTGTTGTAACCCAAGAACTACCTGTATGTGGGGAATTTGTTGCAAATAAGATGACATTCTACTTTAAAAGCAGAAGGAATCAAGGGATAGGCACACCAATCAGTTTTAAAGTAGCCACACATCCTGTTTCAACACAGAAACCGTAAAAAACACAAGAATTAAATGTTGCATTTCAGGTATTGCACATCACACTTCCCATGCCTACCATTACATATCAAAATACAAAATATTACACTATGCACATGCTATATTTTGAAAGCTCCTCACAACTATATCAGGAACTCTTTCAAATGCTGACATTGGGTCATGTTCAAATTCCTTTTTTGCTTCTGCAGGATTTATATTTCATTAAACACGTGCCAATAATTTCCAAATTAAGTCTCAAGGAAAAAAGATATGGAAGACAAAGAAAGAACGCATTAGTTGCAGCAAAAGACAGATGTGAAAATGTTAAGCTACTTTTGATTTCTACTAAACTTCAGACAATGACAATAAATCTTCTCAGAGCAATTATAATTTATTCAAGACCTGAGATAAACCTAACACCAAAGATGACTCAATGAACCAAGCTAACAGATTCAATTGTATTATTTCCTTAAGACTGGTTTAGTATCTGAATCACTATAGGCAACCATTTCATAAAATGTTTGAAATCCAAAAGGCGCATTAACCAATAAGTTGCATCTAAAAAGAATGAACACATTCAGAAAGGTTATGTCCAGTTATTTGTCACAACTTGTCACAAACTGAATTTCTAGGTTTAGATACAGAATGATTTAAACACCTGGGAAGAAATGGAACCAAGACAGGGTAGTAATTCGGATAATGATTAAGATAGTGATTCTTATCCACTGTGGTTCCTTTTTTTACATTGTTGCTACTAATGTCTGTACCATTTGCCTACACAACAGGCTTGCTCCAGTGAAGGAAAACCTTTACACATGCGTAAAGAAAGATGTGATGATTATAACCTATAAGTACCTAAACTTATCTCTCTTGTATTTGCAGGGGAGAGTTTCATGGCATTTTAAAAATTAACTTATTTAACACAGTTGTTTTCACAAACTAAAGTATATCATCACTATTGGCATAAAGCTGTTTGTTAACTGAGTAATTTTTAGACATCAACACACGAAACACATAAAAGCAGGTCAAAATGCAAAAAGAATCTTAATGTTGGGCTGTTTCTACCCAAAACTCAGGTTGGCCTAGAAAATATGTGAAGTGTCATTTATAACAGCAGAACTGAACAATCTTTCTTTCGTCCTCACTTTTCCTCCCTTCCATCCATGTTAAGGTGAGATTCTTCACTTCTCACATCAACACACACATCTGCAAATATATAACATGGGACAAGAGAGAGAGAGAGATTACACCTACATTCTTTTCTGTTTCCATATTACTTTTTGTTCTACCTAAGCTCCTTGCAAACTGTACACTTTCTGGGATGTACCCCAATGGAAGATATAAATGATGAATTATAAACACTGATTGTGGTCGAGAAATGGATATTAATGATGAAGAAGTGCCATAAGAAAAGGAACAGAAAAATGGGATCAGGGAGGACATGAAAGCAGGCCAAGAGGCAAGGACTTAAAACAGAAAGATGGTGAACATGTGGAAGAATGTCATAACAAGAAGCTATTTCATAATGGGAAAGACTACCGCGGGAGATGCAAATGTTTAAACAGAGACTGGCCAGCCACTTGTTAAGGAATGAGAACTCCTGCAAAGGGCATGGGGTGGGACTTGATCACCAGAGATCCTTCCCAACGTTCTATGATTTCATATCGGAAGAATTTCCTAACCTTGTGAGGTGTTCAACCATGAACCAGGTTGCCTCAGGAGACAGTGGAGTCTCCTTCACTCCAGATGTTTAAACACAAATGTTTAAGCAAGACAGCAGCCTTCCAACACTTGAGGGGCTGCCACAAGACAGAGGAGGTCAACCTATTTTCCAAAGCACCTGAAGGCAGAGCAAGCAGCCATGGCTCTTGAAATGAAACTAATCAAACCAAACCAGCTTGTTTTTCTTTTTTTGCATCCCAGCCCTCTCCAGAGATATTGGCTGACCTTTACGGTGGAGAGGATGGATGCTGGAATCCTGGGGGTGGGACAGAGGGATCCAGGCAAGGTCCCAAGCTGGTGGAGAAGGAGGAGGTCCATAATGGGAAAGGCAACCAGAGGAAGAGAAGACACACACACACACACACAGACAAGGAAAAGAACTGCCCAGAGTCACAAGGGAGGGAGACAGAATAGAGCTGGAAGGGACCTTGGAGGTCTTCTAGTCCAGCCCCCTGCTTAAGCAGAACCTATACCGTCTGGGTAGGCAGCTATATAAATTGTATTTATTTACATATGCATTTATTGAGTTAATAATAATAATAATAATAATAATAATAATAATAATAAAGTTGGAAGGGACCTTGAAGGTCATCTAGTCCAACCCCCTGCTCAGGCAGGAAACCCTATGCCATTTCGGACAAATGGTATACTATTATAGGGCTATACTATTTATTTACTGGATTTATATAGTTATATTTATTCATATGATTGATTGGATTTATAAGGCCACCCATCCTCAGTGACTCTGGGCCCCTTACAAGCCATAAAACCCAGAAAATCCCAGTATAAAAACAATACAAGCAATAGCATCCCCCACCCACCCACCCACCCCAACGACCACCAGCAATCCAAGGGGCCCCTCGAGGGCCTCCATCCCACTCTGGGCTCTCCCAAAAGCCCAGAATGAATGAATCCATTAATCCTATTATATAGAGATCAAATAAGGCGGCCGGCTGGGCCTCGACTGAAACGCCCCCCCCATCTTTCCCTACAGGGGCTTCAGACACCCCCACCCCACCCCCGCCCTTGGGGCTCACAACAACCCGGCCAGGTAGGCCAGGCTGGGCGATTCGATGCGAAGGCGGGGAGGGGAGGGGGGGTCATGGCGGGGGGGGGCAACCCAATCCCCGCCTCCTGCGGGCTCCTCAACCCCCCCCGCCCTGATTCCTTCCCGGGGGGGGGCTTCCTTCCCGCTCCTCCCGGCTTCTCACCTGGCCCCGCGGGCGGCAGCGGAGCCGCCTGGCTGCCGCCCAGCCACAAGCAGAGGAGTCCGAGGCCGCCCCAGCCGAGCGCGGGGCGCAGCAGCCGGCCCGGCATCCCGGGAGCGGGGCGGGGGGGGGCAGCCCGAGTCCTCAGCGCGGTCCGCACCGGGCCTGTCTCGCCTCAGCCGGCGGGTCTCGGAAGGGCCGGCATGGGTTCCCGCCGGAGAACGACGGCGCAAAGCAGCAGCAGGAGGAGGAGGCCGAGGAGGCCGGCCCGGAGGAGCCGCCGCCGCTCCGCTTCCCTCACGCGGCACGGCCGGCAGCGGCGCCTCGCCTCGTCCCCGCTGCCGCCGCCGCCGCCGCCGCCATCTTCCGGGTTACCTGAGAGAGGGCGACGCGGGGATTGGCCGCCGCCGCCGGATTGGCTGGCCGGCCCGCCAATCGGCGCGGGATCCGCTCCCCGAGGAGGCGGAGGCGCCCCGCCCTGGAGTGGCAGTCGCGTCGCAGCCAACCGGAGGCGTTGCCCCGCCTCCTCCGCCTTAAGACACCAGCGCGCGGGGAGGGGGAAGGGAGGGGGGGGGAAAGAAGGAGAAGCTGCAAGAGGCGGGCTTTGGTCCCCAGATTGGCAGGGGAAGCGAGCAATTAAATTTTGCCTTTTTTTCCCCCGCCCCCAGGCTGGGAGAAGGAGGGAGGGGATTGTATAAGAGTTCGCGGCTGAGATTTGTGATTGGCAGGAGGTGCCGCCCATCAGATGAGAGAGGGGGCGGGCTTTGAAGGAAAAGACGGGCCCAGAAGGGTTTGCGGCTTGTCCTAATTGAAATGCACTCTGTGCGTGCTCAGAGGTGTCCGCGCTGTTCATTTCCGCCCTTAATTCTGGCTTGTTCTTTGCAAAGCTACTGATAAATCAAGGGAGGTTTTGCAGACTTGGCAGGCACCGCAACAAAAGGAAAGGACGCGGGAAGGGTAAAGGAAAAATGCAAGCACCCATGCTTATCATTAAACTCCTTCTCCTTATCACAGTCGGTACCTGCAAAAGCTTGGAATTAAGGATAAGTCCAAATTTCCCTTTATTTCAGGGGCAAGCTGGATAAATATTAAGTCTGTGAATATAATTCTTGAGTATTCTGTCCGCTAATTCTGCATATATTTGCACAGGAAGAAAAAACTACATAAGTTGTGTTTAATGGACTTCATTTCTGGTGTGTGTGTGTGTGTTTCTGACTGTGAAATCAACTGGAGGCACAAACCTCCCTAGCTTTCCAAGATTAGCCAAACCCAGCTAAATGCAAATTAAACTTGTTTAAATTATAGGGCAGCGCAAGTTAAACTGGTTACTGCACAGAGCCTTCTCATTGTAACAGAGCAAATGACTATTGCTCACTATTTGGGTGGTAAACATCCTAGGACCCATTGCTTGTTAAGCTCCGAAACCTTTTGTTTTACCTGAAATTATTCAAGGACTGAACAAGTCCTTAGCAGTTTAACAGAGGCATTTTCTTTAAAGCTCCATAGCTTTTTCCCCTTTTCATCTCTGCATTTTAAGTAGACTCAGCCAGACTTTCTGCAAAGGGAGAAATACTTTTTAAAAAACCAAGCAGAAAGGTGGGAGGGGGGGAGGAGAAGCATCCCATCTCTCGTTGGTGATCCAATTAACATCCCCTAAAAAAAGATTTTTTTAAACACTTCCCACGCCAAGCAATTTGCGCAAGCATGCTGGTGACAATAGCAGTGCATAATTAAGAAACCTGCAGCTGTTCGGGTTAGATAACCCAATTTTTTTTTGTACGAAGAAAAAATAATAATAATTCTTGTATTTTAGTAAGAAAGCTACTTGTTCGAAAAGCTTTAGGTGGGTTAAAACACCCGTTTAAAATCTGTGTTTGTCTTCCACTTTGGGTAGTTCTGATGTTCAGCTACTACTACGTCTCTTCTTCCTCTTTTTTCTCTTTTCTTTTTTAGGGAGACGGGAGCAAAATGAGCCCGGAAGATGTTAGCATTTTTCAATTTATTTATTTTTTAAAAAAAGGTATTCAGTTTCTATGCCGCCCATCTCACTCGTGATGCAGCTATTGCCACGGGAATATAGATAGTCCTTGCCATTTGATAGCACTGAAAAAAGGGACTTATGACCGTTTTTCACACTTATGACCGTCACAGCGTCCTCCATGGTCACGTGATCCAAATTCAGACGCTCGGCAACTGGCTCATATTTATGACGGTTGCTGTGTCCCCGGGGGGGTTGTCATGTGATCCCCTATTGCGAGCTTCTGACGAACAAAATCGTTGGAAAGCTTTATTACTAACTTAACTGCAATAACAACCAATGCAAAAACTGGGCAAAATTCACATCACAAATGTTTCACTTAACAATAGAAATTTGAGGCTCAGTTGTGGTCCTAAGTTGAGGACTACCTGCGTGGACGGCTTTGTTTGAAGGCCCGGCCGTTTCTTTTGTTTTACGCAGGAATAAATGGCACGGATTCTAAGCAGAATATATAACGCTGGTTCTGTCTTGAGCTGTTGAATTGTTTTCATTGCTCAGCAATGCTCCGGGGCCACGTGGCAGACATTTTATAGCAGGGAGATGCTGGAATTAATTAAAATAATGACCTTTGATTACTGGGAAAGGGTTCCTATAATTTAGTTCTCCATTCTATTCGGAACTGGCCTTTTATCTAGAGATGAGTCAGTGCCTGATTAACTCAGCCCGGCGTAGAAGCATCAGGGTTTGCCGGAAGCCAGGATGACGTCATCTTTGCTGTGACATCATCGCGCAAGCGATGCCCCATTGTCACAGGGATGTCTTGTCACGTGAGAGAGCCTTCCTCCTTCTGAGATCATGTTTTTTCAACCTCGGCCAGTTTTTAAGATGGGCGGACTTCCAGATGTTCAAGAGAAGAAAGTATTTGTAGTCCAGGGTTGAATTTGAGTCGGTGGGTCTCTTGCAGACGTTGCATGACCCAACTAGGCAACTTTATCAGTGGGAACGGGGTGTAAGGTTTGTTCCAGTGGTGGGATTCAAATAGGTGAAGCCCTATTCTCTGCGTGGATGCCGCTTCCGGAAGTCCATTCTGGACCTGGGCAACAAAAAATCAGCTACTGGTTCTGCCGAACTGGTGCAAACTGGCTGAATCCCACCACTGGTTTGTTCCCAATTTATGTATAATCGCTTGCCCTGCCAGTTTCGGAGAAGGTGTAGTTTTTTTCTGGGTCGTTCCTTGATTTAAGGTATTGTTTTCTGCTTGATTGTTTGTCTGGTGTTAATCCCTGCTTAATTGGACATCGATTGCTAGATAGAATGTGTTCTGTTTTTGTTTGTTTGTTTGTTTTCTTAAAGTGTTTGGCAATCTGGCTCAGTTGAGTTCCTTCATTATACCATGCAAAGCCAGGAGATTATTTGGGGACATGGAGGAGGAGGAGGAAGAGGAGGAGGAGGAGGAGGAGAAGGAGAAGGAGAAGGAGGAGAAGGAGAAGGAGAAGGAGAAGGAGAAGAAGAAGGAGAAGGAGGAGAAGAAGAAGAAGAAGAAGGAGAAGGAGAAGGAGAAGGAGAAGAAGGAGAAGGAGAAGAAGAGGGAAGAGAGGAGGAAGAGGAGATGAAGGAGGAGGAGGTGGTGGAGGAGGAGGAGGAGAAATGCTGATAGGGAGAAGGAGAAGGAGAGGGAAGAGGAAGGAGGAGGAGGAGGAGGAGATGAAGGAGGAGAAGGTGGTGGTGGTAGTGGAGGAGGAGGAGGAGGAGGAAGAAGAAATGATGGGCAGAGGACTGGTGAGTAAATGTTAATAACCAACCTTATCTGGATTTGGAAGCTAAGCAAGATTGGATTGGGTTAATATTTAAATGGGAAACGGGGCTCGGTCAAGGAAATTCTTTGGCACAATGGAAACTATCCTCTTTTTCTTGCGTAGGTTCCGCAGCCTTTGGAGTCGACGGATCGAGACCAGGTTGATGGTATGTCATGATAATCTGATGGGCTGGCCAATTTCCTAGGCCAGTCCCATGCAGAAGCTGCAAGCTGCAGAATAGCCGGAATCTGGAGAACCCCAAACTTCATGATAACTTCTGAAACAGCAAAAAACCTGGTTTCCCCCCAGATCGCCACTAGATGGCGCCCTGTTGCAAGAGGACTAAGCTGGACCATCATGTCCTCCATGAAGAGTCTTCAAGGTGGGAATGTAGATCCCTCAGCAGAGCAAAGGACCTTTGCGTACGTGCTCAGGCCAACAATACCCATCACTCTGGAAGAAGCCAGGATTCTGCATCTCTGTCCACACTGGATGGAGAGACAAGAGGGGGAGCATCCTTGGGATCCATGGAGGGACCTCTGTCTAGGTCTGGGTTTAGGAGAACCAGCTGGGCACACCCTTGAAACCTAACAGGTAACCTTGGAAGAAAGCTGAAGGAAGACTGGTTTGTTCCCAGGCAGAACACACCATTCATTGTTTGTTCTTCTTCAATGAGTATTCTTGGAATACATAACTTTGGTGTTGACCGTCTCTACGGTGTTGTTGACGTTCCTGAAATTCTTTGGGCTTCCCTGTAAATGCCAGCAGCATCTGTGGAATCCCAGCAAGGGCTCTAAATCTTCAAATGCCACCCGTGTGGCCTCCCTCCCACCTCCTCACCCCATCCCGATGGGCCGTCTCTTCTCCCGTTACAAGCCCAGATAATTGCAGCGATGGGTCTGCAGGGCTGCAAAAGGAGGTTGGATATTAGGAGGGGGGGTCAAGTCAACTCATGGTATTTGGGGAGCCCACCAATGCTCCCCGAAGTGGAAGGGAGGGAGGGAGGGAGGGAGAGATAGAAAGAGGAAGGGAGGAAGGGGCTAATAGAAACAGGAAGGAAGGGATGGAAAGAGGAAGGAAGGAAGGAAGGAAGGAAGGAAGGAAGGAAGGAAGGAAGGAAGGAAGGAAGGAAGGAAAGAGGAAGGGAGAGAGAGATGGGTGCAAGGGAGGGAGGGAAAGAAGGAAAGGATTGATAGAAAGAAGGAAAAGAGGGAGGGAGGGAGGGATGAAAGGGAGAAGCAAAGGACTGAGAAAGAGAAAGGGAGGAAGGAAAAGAGGGAGGGAGGAATAGAAAGAGGAAGGGAGGAAGAGATGAGCGCGAGGGAAGGAAGGAGG